TTCTCAACTGCCGTCAAGAATGCTTGCAATTGTGAAATGGTTCTAGACATTAGGAGTGTATCATCAGCATACTCTAAATCAAATGTCGGGTGTAGTGATGACCATGTGTTGGTAGCGGTACCTTGCTGTAAAAGGGTCTGGTCTATATCAGCGAAAATTACCGTCAGGACTATTACAAACAGGTAGGGACTTAACGGGCAACCTTGACGGATTCCAGCCGCCACTGCGCCCTCTGCGGTGTGGTCTTGAGGTCCTTTAGTATAAAATTGAGGCTGCTCATATATGGCCTGAATAGCCTTTATCATTAGAGGAGAGAGTCCAAAACGTTTCAAAGCTATGATCATTGCGGTGTGGTCCAAGGAGTCGAACGCCTGCTTCCAATCTAACGAAAGAATGTGTAGCGGTGTGGCTGTCATCAAGGACCACTCCATTGCGCGCCTTAAGATGAATAACGGCTGCTTAGTGCCTTTTTTTGCCCTAAAACCGAATTGTGTGTTTCTTAATCTAGGTTCGATTTGTGTACTCAAGCGCGTCTGTAGCATGGCTGCGTATATCTTATAGATGGTATTTAACAAGGAAATGGGTCGGTAGTTGGCCGGGTCAGTGTCGGCCCCTTTGCCTTTATAGATAGAGACAACTATTGCCTTAGCCCAGTCTGGCGGTATGGTCCCGGAGTTCCACGAATGGTTGTACAATTCCAAAAGTGTGCGGAGATTTTCATCATCAAGGAGTAACCATATTTCGTTAGGAACCTCATCGGGTCCTGCTGCCTTCTTCTTTTTAAGCTTCTGTAGTGCGGCTTCCAGGTCCAGCATGGTGAAGAGTGGTTCGTTATCCAGTTGACTGTGTAGGGGTGGTCTGGAATCTCTGATTCGCGCTGTTTCCGGCGGTATGGCTGGCGCCGCCCATTGTTTTTGTTCTAAGTGGTTTTTAAATGCCTCGTGCGTTTTGGACCATGGTTGTGGAACGCCGTCCACTACTAAGTGCTTTTTGGCTCCCACGAATCCCTTCTTTTGGTTTTTGATTGTATTCCACGCGTTGCGTTGTGCCGAGGGGTCCTCTTGCAGCTGGTCGTGTATCCATTTTATCCTGTCTTTTCGAGCTGCTCGTTTCGCCTGGTTACGCAGTGTTTTGGAATCCTGCTCTTGCGCGGCCTCCGATCTGCGTGCTTTGTCAAGGAGATTGAGCGTGTGATCTGTGATCCACGGTTTTTTGTTTCTGCGGCGGTGTGGTTCAAAAGTAGCTTTCGCTGCATTTAAAGCTGCTTGCGCCAAGCAAGTTTGCGGTTGCGCCGGAAGGTTGATGGGCGCGGCGTACGGTAGCAAAGGTTGCGTACGGCCACCGATGGCCTCATCACTTTGTTTTCCCTGTTCCGCCAGACGGTCTGCTTTTTCGTTCCCTTCGGTACCGACGTGTGCCTTGGTCCATTCAATTGTGAAGGTCATGCCTGGTGTTTTGAGAAGTCGCTTGGCATTGTGGATCAGCGTTTTGTGTGTCTTGGGGCGCCACTTTCCCAAAATTACATTTCGAGCCCATGCGCTATCCGTATATATATGTACTTGCTGATACTCCATTTCTATGGAAAAAAGTAGGGCTTCTATAATTGCCGTGACTTCGGCGGTATTGTTGGATCCTACATTAGCCCCTAAATATGCGGTGTGGTCTGAGGAAGTGATTACCGGTCCGCAAGCTTCCAGCCAATGCTCCCCCTGTGGCGAGCACCAACCCCAGCCTGCAGGAGTATTCCTGCTACAACGTCCCCTAGACCCTGAGCCGTCAGTGTAGAAACAGATCTTGGCTGTGGGGGGTGGCTGCGGTGTGGTCTGCATTTTACCCCCAAGTAGATCCCTCAACGCTTCGTTAAAGGAGTGTTTTTGTTCTGCCGTGGGATTACTGAGGTTCAGCTTGGGCTTTGGAAGGCGGTTTTTAAGGCGCTGCGCTAGTTTTATCTGTATTTCTGTAACTAAGAGGTAATGGTCGCTTGGAAAACCTGTGTGTAGCTTAGACCTACAGGAGTTGATCGATGGGAGCCATTGCTTTCTAGTGAAGGTGTGGTCCAGACACTGGAAACGGGTTGGGTCCGGTGTGGGATCTGATTGTGGCGGGGGCAATGGGACATCCAAGGGTAGGAAAGCTCTAATTCTAGAGGCGATTTCCAGGGATTGCCCTGCATCTATATGGTGAATTTTCTGGTAAATCTGTTGCATAATGATAGGGTCCAGGACAAACTGACTCCAGTCTGTGGGCGGCGCTGCTTTGTCTCTGTAAGTAATTTGGTGTACCGCGTTGGGGGTCTTATGAGATGCTACTTCTACCATGCCCTGTAGTAGCATTGATCTAACACACAAAGTTCTGTTGGAGGATGCGGTGTGGTCGATATACCTGGAACCCTTCCCGTACACGTACGGTCCTGTAACCCCTTGATCGTTTTTATGTTGTGCCTGAAGCCTCACATTAAAATCCCCTGTAATGTACACTGGTTCTGGTTGTGGGATTTTCGCGGTGTACTCCTCCAATTGGTCCCAGAATGGTTGTCGGACTGTTTCCAAATCTAGTCCTGAATGCGGCGCGTAACAGCCTATCAGATGTATTTTCCCTCCTTTTTTATTAAAGCTGAGATGTATTATCCGCGAGCTAACCTGAACCACGTCTACCAGGTGTGGTCTGAGCTTAGGATGTATGATAGCACCTACTCCCGCATACTTATCACGAGTGTTACCGGACAGTATCACCAGATGTTGCTCCGATAAGTAGGAATAGTACGAGGTGCTTCTGGTTTCACTAAGCATAACTACACCCAACGAATGTTCGTCCATTAACTGCAGGATGGTCTTGAGCTTTAGTGTGTCAGCCATACCTTGTACATTCAGGGCCCCAAACCTCAACTTAGAGTTATAAGTGCGAGGCGGTGTGGTCCTGTGCTCTGTAGTCTGTGGCTTCTTTTTTCTTGTCAGCTGTTCCTGCCAATGCAGGCTTTGCCGGAACCACTTCGATCTTGTCTGAGTGGCTTTTGTGGACAAAGTGCGGTGTGACCCCTGGGAGTCCGCCCCCTGAGTCAAGCATTGTTTGTGGTGAGCTCGCCATTGTCGATAGGCCCTGCGACGGGTCCGTCGACTTTTGGCGCCCCTACCCCCCACATTTGCACCACACTTGGGTTGGGAACACTCTTCGCTCGCCAAAATGGCGCCCGGCACGCCTCGTGGAGGCGGTGTTCGTGACTGAACCAGGAAAGAATTCCGAATTCTTGAATTACGTTTACCTTTGGTAGAACGATAAAAACCGTATGTGCCGTCGTTTTGCCGAAACTTGACCCGACGACCCTTACGTCTGTGTTTGGCGGGATGGGCGAAGCCCTTCAAAGGCGGTGTGGACTGGGCTTGTAAGCTAGTGACAGCGATAAGTTGAGGAGAAAACCGATTAAAACCACAAGTGTCAGGCGTGTTGCGTCTTTGTTGTAACATGGTTGTTCTAGAGTACTGGGGTGGGGCGCTCCAGGTTGCAGCGGTTGGGGTGTTGGGTTCGGCATTACTCTGCACATGGGGTGCTGGAATGAGCTGGTCTAGGGAAAGCTTTGCCCTAGCTTGGAGGTGTGGACCTACTGCTAGGATGGAGACTGTCGTGTTACCATATTTCGAGTGCATCTTACTATTTTGGGACGCTTGTAGCACTAGCTCAAACGACTTCGCCTGAAGAGGCGGTGTGGTTGCGGAAATCGTTAGCGAATTAAGCTGCCACCATGGAAAAGTGGCCCAAAAGGCGGTGGTGCCTTGAGTGGCGGCCTCTTGAGAAAGTTTCAAAGGGGAGGCGCTCTGCTCAAGCATACACCCAGCGCGCTCACAGGCGGTGTGGCCCAAGGAGGCACTGATCCGCGTGCACGTTAAAACACTTCAGCTGCCAGGCGTTTTGGTCTTTCCACCTCTGCCCTTGCCTTTGGCCGCAGCTTTCGAAGCAAGGATCGGCGCCTGATTGGCCGAAGCAGACGAGTCGCCAAAACCAGGATCCAACATGTCCGTGTCCGTTGTGGATTCTGCGGTGTGAGCCGGTTTACCGCCGTAGGTGGCCACTTCGTAGCTGCCTACTTTCTCTCCCGGCTGCCCACACTTATCACAATACTCGTCCCACACATATGCGATGTGGTCCGTGCCTGTGAAATGCAGATTAAAAGGATACGGGCTGAACGAGGAATTATGGAGCAAAGCCTGAGACCAATGTTTGCGGCCCTTTCCAAAATTCACACCCTTGCCAGAGGTCTGGCTCTGCAGCTTTGCTGCATTGTAGGCTGCTTTCTCGGCTTGGTCTAACTCCATCTGGGAACCCCACATAACAGAGTTCCACATCTCAGTCCAAAGAGACTCCTCCCCTGAGCTGGCGTCTCTTGGCGGGCCCAGGAGGATCTTTGCAAAGTCAGTGTGGACCTCGAGGCGAGCAGCAAAAGAGCCACCCTGCTCCTCGTACCACAACCTCGCCCATGCCAGGCGGTCTGGTCTAAAGTCCCGGTCCTCAGTAGGCTGCATGATCGTTAAGGTTTTCCACAAGATAACGATCTGCTGCCCTTGAGTGTCCGGATGGGCGTTGATCGCCGCGATTAAAACTCTCAATGGCGACTCTAATTTACGTTGCCACTGCGGTGTGCAAGGAGCCGTTCGGATATGCTTTCCAGGTTGGGGGGTATTGGCATCCACATAAAGTGGCAGGCCGCTCTGTCCCCCATACTTCTTCAAGAAAGCGGAGCGAAGCTCCCAGGAACGAAAGGTAAGCAACGTCATACCGCTGTAAAAGCCTCCAGCTTGTGGCACTGTTGTCGGATCGTTCTGCAGCACGTTCAGCCAGAATTGCGGTGTGATCGTGTCCGGGTCATACTGTGCATCGAGCTGTCCACGGTTCTGCAAGTACTGGACGATTTCTGGAGTCTGGCCCAACATCCACCCTACCATATACAGGCGTTGTGGTGGGGCTAGCCCTTGCGGCCAGCCTGTTGTCACTAGCATCATGCCAGAAGCATGTTTCTGGCTGGAGCGGTTCTCCGTGATCATAAATTGGAGCTCTTGCTGACACTGAAACACAGAATCATTGACTTTGCGAACGGCGTTCTCAAGCTGAGCGATCATGCCCAGAACCTCTGGCCTGATGATTCTTTTATGGTATCCTCTGACAAGCTTCATCACTTCTCCTGCGGTCTGGACCGGGGTGTTGTAGAACTGCTCAACCGCTGCCGGGTCGTTGGCATTGACACCAAAATCTGCCGCCACGGCTTGCAGGGCCGTTTGATCCTCCAGAAAAACCGGCTGAATCAATGTAGCTTCCTGCGCCGCTGGCGCTGCGGTGGGAATAGCGGCCCCTGCCGGCTCCTGCGGTGTGGTCAGTCCACTGACTGTTGGGCTCGGCGGTCCGCGCTTGTTGTTGCGCTGCTCACTGAAGAAGAGCTCCTGATGGGCAAGCTGAGGCTGCTGTAGAGCTCCAGCTCGAGCTGTTCTGTACTCGTCCAGGGACTGTTGCGACATGTGTGCGGGGTGGTCCTAAGGAGCTACCCTCGAAAAAACTTGCAAGTCGTGCACCATGCACCTGGTCGGCCGAGATGCCTAGGCGCCTATATTACCTCTCTCTCCTCTCACCCTCCCCGCGCCCCCTTCCTCCGGCTTGGGTTTTTGGGTTCAGCCTTTTAGTTCGGGGCAAGGCTTGCGGGAGACATTTTCAAGCCTAAACTCCCCCGGAACCCTAAATCCCAATTCCCTGAACCGTAGCCCCTAAACCTTAAGACCCGATGCGAAGCTCCTTCAGAGTGCCTGAACTTCGTGGTGTACGTGCTCGTGTGTGTGTGTGCGTGTGTGTGATAGGTTTTCTTTAATGCAGACCATTTGGGAGTTTCCGAAACTTAGGGCACCTTATTTTGGGGCCCTTATCATAAGGATCCTAGTATTTAGGGTATTATATTACGGTCGCCTATTTTGGGAAACTCCCATTTTCTGGTGAAGACTTTGCTGGCCATGCGGAGAAAGCCCCACTGCACTTCAAAATTGAAAAACATCTCAAACCCGACAGGTGATCCACGCCGCGGCGACACGGGCTTGTGACCTGGGCAGGTCTGCGGGTTTAGGAGTTTAGGGGTTTAGGTGGGGGGTTCAGGGTTTAGGGGTTTGGGGGTTTAGGGCTTAGGGTTCCCTTTCAGGGTTTTCCGCAGCATGGCGCCTTGAGCAATTGAGCATTGGTTTTCTCATGGCGGCCATAAACCCTACAGTAAACCCTAGGCCCTAAACCTCAATCCCGATTCCCTCGCTGAAGCCAGGCAGTGGCTCCGAGCTGTCGGTCTCCTCGCAGCCCAGCGCCGGCTGGGAGCGGAGCCGCCCCGCCGACTCGGCTGAATTCAAAGGTTTATTTTTTTTAGGGGGGCGCGGGGTAGGAAACCTTAAAGGTTCAGGGTCTGAGTTGTTTAGGGTTTCAGGGTTTAGGGTTTAAGGGTTAGGGTTTAGGGTTTAGGGACCCTTTAAACCCAAACCAGGCTTTAGGGTTTAGGCTTTGAGGGTTCCTTCAAGGGTTGAGGGTTCAGGCTTTAAGGTTTGGGCTTTATAGGTTCTTTTGGCTGCTTTCCAGATCTTCCAAAAACCACTTGTTCAGGTAATATACCTTAGATCGTAGTAGGATCCAGAAAGTGAATTACGTATATTCCTTGGTGAAGGGATTTTGGGAGATTTGAAGAACGGGTTGCTGTAAGGGTTTGCGGCTTAGAGCAGTTGAAGGTCGCGGGCCTAGGGTTTAGAAGTTCAGGGTTTCGAATTAGAAGTTTAGGGTCTTCTGGGGCTTTTCGTTTAAAGTCTATAAGTCTATAAGTGAAGGGTTGATCATTGCTGAAGACAGTGCTCAAAGACCGTTATGCCCAAAACCCTCGCGAAGAACCCGAAGTTGCTGGCCCAACGTCTGATGCGTGCTACACCCTTTTAGGTTCCTGGCTTTGGGTTAGGGTTTAAGGTTTAGGGTTTAGGGTTTGGGGATTTGGGTTTGGGGATTAGGGTTTAGGGTTCAGGGTTTACGGGTTTGGGTTTGGGGTTTCGGGGATAGGTTTCAGAGTATTTCAAACTCTTCATTGACTCCAAACCCCAAACCCTCGAACCTAACGGCTTACAACACACTCACGTCCCAAAGGACCCTGAATGTCAACTCTCGAAAGTTCCCTGAAGCCGAAATTTCCGAAGCACGGGCAAACGCGCACTACCAAATGATTCTTGAATCTCAAGTCTGCAAGCAAACCTGAGACTACGCGTCCTTTTGGCACCCTCCCAGCCTAAACCCGGAGGAGGACGAGGAGCAGGAGCAGGAGCAGGACGAAGAGGAGGAGGACGAGGAGCGGAAGAAGTGGTGCAGGTAATGACCGTGGAGGCAGCTGATGAACTGATCCGGCACTGGTTCTCCACAAGGAGGATGCACCTGCTGGGTGGTGGGGATACCGCTCAATGACAAACGTGGTGGGGTGGCGTGGGTGCACACCCCGAGAACCCTATATCCCTTAATTAAGGAATGTAGCTTAAATCACATTATGAAGCCCCTCATAATTTAAGGTATATTCCTTAATTGAAGGGTATTGGGTTCTCTGGGCATGGGATGCTCGTCCCTGGAACCTGAATCCTCAACGGGGCCCGGTAGTTACCGGAGCTGGGATGTAGAGAAATGATCCAAAATTAGGGTCATGAATAATGAGACTGGGTTTTGGGGCCCATTATACTATACTTATAAGAAGGAGGAGCCCCCAAAATAGTATAGGTAATTAAGGGCCTAAACCCTAAAGGTCCCTTAAAGATCATTTACGGGAACCCTTAAGGATCCCTTTAAAGGTAGTATAGGCCCCTATAATAAACCCTGCATAAACCCGACAAAGTCTGGACGCTGAGAGCAGGATGTCGACGACGTAAAACCATGAAAGTCCCAACTGCGGGAGAAGAGCAGCAATTGCACCAGCAATCATCGTGGTAATAATGTCGCCGGTCATAGTGAGAGCAACGCGAAATAGCCCTCAACCCTAAGCCCTAATAAACCCTAAACCCTAAACCCTAAACCCTAAGCCCTAATAACCGCCGAGGCCAACTTTGGACCGCAAACGCCGCAATCGGATCCCTCGCCCGGATTCATCTTTGGCGAAAGTCGCTGCAACAGCCCGGGGCCCTAGGATTTGAGAGGACGGGTTCAGGGTTTCCCTGGACCCTAAGGAACCCCCCTCTTTTGGGGTTCCCTAGTATGATTTCCTTATACAAGCCCTTAAAAAGGTATATAGGTTATTTGGGGTTAAGGTAGGGTTTACGATGTCGGGTGTAGGGTGTATGTTTTAGTACTTACGGTGTACGACTTATCGATTTTTCGTGCAGGGCTTTTGGCTTGGGAGTTGGAGCTGGCGGAGCCCTTCTGGTTTAAGTTTGTACCAATTCCATATGACAGTTGAATCGTTTTAAATGAGTTTGGGCAGAAAAAACGAATAAAGGTAGAGTTTCCGCCTAAGCGGTCTCCACGGCAAGCCCCTAAACCCTTCAACCGTAAACCCTAAACCCCAAAACTCCAAATCCTAAACCCTAATCGAACAATGCTAGCGTAATTTTGCGACCGGTTTTGCATTCGTCAGCCCTTAAACTTTAAATCCCCAAAAGACCCAAAGCCCTAAACCCTAAAAGACCTCAGAGACTCAAACCACTGCAACTCCGAAACTCAGCCATACGATCTCCAAACAAACCAAAAACCAAAGGGGAAAAGGAGGGACCCTTCAATGGGGACCCCTACAATCTATTGGGCTATATAGCTATATTAAGGGTATATATCTAGGGGTCCTTATTACGGGTCCCTCCTTTTACCCTTGGAAAAAACACTAAGCCTCCAAAGCATCCCATAATGGAATCCGCAAAAGAATCCCAAAACGTAACCCGAAATCAGAAAACCCTGAAGTTAAAGGAACTTCAGAACCCTAAACCCCATAGTACCCTTATAGAACCCTTAAAACCTTGAAATTAGGGGAACTCCAGAACCCTAAACCCCAAACCTCATCCTAAAGTTTCTGAGAACGTGCCTGCTTCCCAGGCTCGAGAGCATGGCGGTGGCCTCATTTCTTAGTTTCTACAACGTTTGTGCGTTTTTGTTTTTCGGTTCTGTAAAGGTTTTACAGAGCTTGTTGAACGCCTTTGTGGTACTTTAACTGAGCCAAGTAGCAATGTCATTCGTGATGCCCCCTCTTACGTCTAAAGGATGTCTCGACGCCCACAAAAACCTGGCCTTTAGGCACCTCTGAAACCTAGTTAAAAAGACACGGATTCTGTTTTGGACAGGGGGGTTGACAACCCAAGAGACTCCATGCTTTAAGCAAGAGGGCTTAATACTTTCCTAAACCCCAAGCCCTTACTTAGTGTAGGGGTTTGCATAATTGGGGTTCCTCATTATAACTATAGTATTACAGTATCCTCTTCACCAGAACCCCATCCTGAATATTAAGGCCCCTATATAAGGGGAGTTTTGCAATTTCTGGGGGCTACTCAGATCATGGTTTCTGGTTTGCAAGATAGGGGTCTAGGGTGTAGGGTTGCAAAAGCTAGTCTTGAGATCTCCCAGATACCTTAAACCCTAAACCCTAGCCGGTCTAGTACTTAGCCTCCATTTGAGAGCTCGAGGTTGTCTTCTGCGGGGTGTCGCACACCGAGTATTTGGTTCAAGGTTTAGGATTTAAAGATCTAGAGGGTTCAGAGTTTAGGGTTCATGGTTTAGGTTACAAGAGTTCCCGGGTTGAGGGTGAGAGTTGAGGGGTCTTACAGACCGGAGACTCGAGCTATTGAAACTAATCCCTGGCAGGGATCTTACCTTGGAACGTCGTTGTTCAGGTGCTTTTTGGTTTCCTCTAATGGGGTTCGAAAGGGGTTTAAGTAGAGTTGCCATGGGGGGGGGGCTCGTTGCTCCAAGGGTTTCCCCATAGTTTATCCGATACCCTAAAACGTTCTAAGCCGCCGAAGAAGCCCTGATGGCGCAATACCGAAACCCCAAGCCCTAAACCCTTGGAGGAGCCCTCCAAGGAACCCGAGGAACCCGAAAGGAACCCGGAAGTTATCTTACCTCGACCTTCTTTTGAAACGGACCCTCTAGTACCCTTAAAGGAGCGCTTCAAAGGGCTACCCAAAACCCTAAACCCTATAAGCCCTACTAAACCCTAAGCCCTATGGTGTCCTTCAAAGGGCAACCCCAAACCATAAACCCCTAAACCTCAAAACACCACTACACCCTAAACGGTAGGTCTAAAAGAGGGCGGTGCATCCATCTGAGATCTAAGTTGCTGAACAACGACCCGCTTTTTGAGAGTCGGTTTAGGGTTTAGGGTTTAGGGCTTAGGGTTTAATCTGTGATATCTCCTGGAAGAGGCTACGGCCAAGGGCTTAGGCGGGCCAAGGTGCACCGGGTGACTTTAGCGTCCAGGCTTTACGGTTTCCTTTAGGGAACATGTTTGGTCTGGTAACCCATTGTAGCGCAAGAGCAGTCTCAAAGGTGATCGCCGGTCCCAGCGCAGCGCCTCTGCCCGATGTGCAGCACTCGGGGATCGTGCGCATTGCAGAGATAATGGTCATACAGCTTCAAAATACCCCTAACCCAACACTCTCAAATCCTCAAGCCTGCCCCAACATTTTTGAAACTTCAAATGCGAAACCTTAAACCCCAAATCAGAGACCTCTACAGCCGGTATAGAACCCTTGCGAACTAAACTGTAGAAGGAAAGATATAAGAAACCCCTATACGTAAACCTTATTTTCACATACGTCAAACCTTATGAACCCATGAAGCAACCCTAAACCCGAAAACCCTACACACCAAAATCCTAAGCCCCCTAAACCCTAAAACCCCACAGCCCTAAACCCTGAAAGCCTAAAGCACCAAACCCCTAAACCCTAAAACCCCTAAACCCTAAAACCCCTAAACCCCAATATCCCTAAAGCCCCTAAACCCTAAAACCCCTAAACCCTAAAACCCCTAAACCCTTAAAATCGCTAAAGCCCCTAAACCCAAAAACCCCTAAAACCCCTAAACCCTAAAACCCCTAAACCCCTGAACCCTAAAACCCCTAAACCCTAAAACCCCTAAAACCCCTAAAACCCCTAAAACCCATAAACCCAAAACTCCTAAACCCCAAAATCCCTAAACCCCCAAACCCTAAACCCTAAAACCCTTAAGCCCTAAACCACTAAACCCTAAAACCCCTAAACCCTAAACCCCAAACCCTTATAAATCCCTTATAGATCCCTTAAAGGAACCCTTAAAGGAACCCTTAAACAAACCTAAAACCTTCAAAACTCACCAAAAAAACTTTCAAAATTCAACAACAAAACACTTAAAACTCAAAAGAACAACCGCAAAACTTGAGGTGGTGACCTTCGGCAGCGCCCTGAGCGCCTGCAGCGGGGCGCGGCAGCTCCCGGCCTCTCTGCTGCTGCTGGAGGCCTTTGGCAGTACCCTTCCCTGGACCCTAAGGCTCCGGGGTTTGGGGTTTAGCGTTTAGGGTTTCGGGTTGTTTATGGGTTACCTTAGCCTCAAATAGCCTACCTGTTTAGGGACTTATATAAAGAGATCATATGAGCCCTAAAAAGGTAGGTTCCTTAGGGTCCAGGTCTAAGGGGGCCTTAATAATTACCTAGGGTTCCTTTTAAAGGGATCCTTAAAGGGGTCTATAAGGGATCCATACTAGGGTTCTTTTTTAGAGGCCTTTGGCGGTACCCTTCTATGGGGTTTAGGCCCTGTACTACCTTTAAAGGGATCCCAAGGGCTCCTTTGAAGGATCTTTAAGAGATCTATAGGGTATAGGAATTAGGATAGGGGCCTACGTAAATAATTACCAATACTATTGTGGGGATGCCTCATTATGATGATAGTATAATATACTCCAAAGCCCTACTCTAATTATTTAGGCCCCGGTATTATTCCTATAAGGGTACTATGGGTTTAGGGTTTAGGGCATTCCCCTGGCTTCCTTACTATTGTTACAGTATTTTATGAAAAATACACACGAAAACCCTATTCCAATTACTAATTCCCTTATACTACCTCATATTCCTGTAGGGATAGTTTGGGGTTCTATAATAGGGTCACCTTTAAGGGCATCATAGGGTTCTATAGTAGGGTCTCCTTTCAGGGTACTGTGACGTTCCATAATAGGATATTAGGAAAAGGTACCCTTACTATTAAGGGGTTACGGATGAAACTAGTTAATAACTAGAACAGGGCTACTCTAAGGGCTTCTTCTATAAATGGTTGCCACAATAAGGGTTTCGAAAAGGGTTAAGGTCAGAGGCCTTAATGACTAGCGGGGCATGCTATACGCTCAACCTTAAAGTTAGACTACTGTTGTAATATGGAATCTTAACGATTTCTTCATAGTTAGAACTAGGTTTCGGGACGTACCATGCCCCAACAGGCTTTCATGGTAGCTGTTTCGGACTTGTGGCCGTTTTCTTCAAGATCCAAGGTGCTCGCTCGGGTGTGGAGTACATGCAGTTTAGGGATGTTGAAGATCAGGGTTAGCCTGGGTTCTGGTACAGGAAACTAATATAAGTTACCATAATAGAGGAATCCTATTATTGGTAGCTATAGAACCCTATTATGGTAGCTTAAATTAGGCTCCTTAACAAGAACCCAGTCGGGTTGTAGAGTTTCGGGATTTAGAGCTGGGATGTTGTGTTTGGGGTCTGGGGCGTTTGGGGCTCAGAATGAGGGCTAATGATACCCTAAAAGCTAAACCCCAACTCCCGAACTTCTAAACCCCCCTAAACCCCAACGCCGAACTCCCAAACCCCCACCAAACCCGAAACCCTGAACCCTAAACTGAAAGCACTCTCATGAACCCCTCGAGCACTTTCGTAAAGGCCTATATACATGACCCTACTTGGAGGTTCATGGGACTTAGTAAGTGCAGCCATAAATGCAGTGAAACAGGTTAGCGGTAATTTTAAGTAGAGTTACCTTATGTAATTATAAAGCCCTAGTTACTATGTCCCGTGATCCTAAAACCCAATACCCTTTGGGCCTTTCAAAAGGAGATGCAGAAGCTGAAGATCCGGTACCTTTGCAGGAAGGTTTAGGATTTTATACGGTTTTTGCAGAGGTCTAGGGCCTGAAGGTTTTGGGTTTAGGGTTTAGGGTTTAGGGTTCAGGGTTTAGGGTTAGGAGTTTCGAAAGTTGCGGAGGTTTGGGCTAGCTTAAAGTTATAGGATGATTAAGGCCCCTATATTATAGTACCCTTATAGATCCCTTATTGTAACCCTTATACTAACCAAAGGTGGGGTTCGGAGTAGATTTGCCCAACTCCAAACCACAGAACCCCAAAACACCAAGACCCTAAATCTTAAAGTCCTAAATCCTAAACTCCCTGAAAACCTTAAACCCTCCATCCTCGACGTCAAGCCCAAACCCTACAAGGCGCCCTGCTTGGCGGGTCAGGGTACTAAGGTTCTTCAGGGTTTCTCAGTCTCTATAGGGTATGGTAGGGTTTAGGGTTTAGGGGGGCTTCGTAAATAAGATTCTGTTAAGGGTTCTTTTCAGTTTCTAGACGGGTAGTATGGGGGTAAGGATAGTGAGTCCTGCTCCAGTTTTGCAGCCATCGAGGTTGCGCTCGTCTTGCTGACAAGAGCCGTCCATCTCTGTGACCACGGAATGAACTTGGATGGAGAGGTCATGATGCTCCCGATTACTGCATCAAAATTGGTTTTAGCCACTTCCTGCAAGGTCCTGGATCCGGTGCAGAGCAGTGGCAAACTCGCCAGGGTTCAAGGTTTGGGGCTTCGAGCTTGGTACTTTGGTTGTAGGGTTTGGGTTTGCTTGAAAGGTCATGGGACTTAGTAACTAGAATCACAAATAACACAACCGTACTTATAATTACTTCTATACTCCCAACTAGGCAGCGCTAACATTACTTACTAAGCCCCCCTAAACACTAATACCCCATAGAACTCTTATAGTCGATCCTAAAACAAGCTTCGCAGCTCCTACTTGAAGGTTCATGGGACTTGGTAACTAGGATTATGAATAAGGTAACTTCACTAAGAACCGATACAGGGTCCCATTGAAGGTAGTCGTATCCGAACCGCCAGGTCCCATGAGCCTCGAAGTAGTTCTACGGTTGATGATATAAATCCTGCATTACCTTAAGGACCCTTAACTGTGGGAATTGTGGTATATTCCTTTTTATGGGTGATGCAGGATTTTTACCATTAACCGTAGTTGTGCCAACCACCTGCTGCAGCATCGCCAAGACAAGGCTCAGCGTCGCAGCCTGCAGCACGGTCGTGGCCACCTGTGCAGCATGGCTCCACGAGACTTCAGGGGGGGGCTGTGGGGGTTTGAAGGAGCCCGTGTGTTCATAGCATCATGAACAGGTGTTCTTTTGTAAAGGATTCGGCCGTAGGATTGAAGAATTTGGGCGCAAGGTGCTTTCTTAAAGGTTCATGGGACTTGGTAACTAGGATTATAAATAAGGTTACCATATGTATAAGCACTTATAACCCTACTTAAGGTACTTCTAACCTTACTTACTAAAGCCCCCCTTCCAGAATCCTTCTTGAGCCCTATAGAACTTGGAGCTTCGCAGGCCCTCTGTGCAACAAAAAACGCAACGTCCGCACATCGGTTTAGAGTTATAGGGATTTTTGGGGGCTCCTTAAAGTTACGGGGATTTTTTACTGGCTCCTTCAAGTTATAGGGATCTTGTTTAGGGGCTTCTTAAAGTTATAGGGTTTAGGAATTAGCATCTGCAAGAACCCCGGGGCTTCCGGGAGAGTGGCCGAGATCCTAAAGGGTTTAGGGTTTAGGGTTTAGGGTTTAGGGTTTAGGGTTTAGGGTTTAGGGTTTAGGGTTTAGGGTCAAGCCCCAACGATCCAAAAAACCCAGAGCCAACCCTGAAGCCTCAACCCTAAACCCCAAAGCCTCATATAGGGGCCTGTAATATTAAACCCTTATACAAACACTTACAGACCCCGTTGTAAGAGCCCTTTAAAAGCAACCCTACTCTCATTATCTAGGCCCCTACTTAAAGGTTCATGGGACTTAGTAACTAGGGTCGTAATTACGGTAACTATACTTATAATTGGTTGTAACCCCAGTTAAGTTACTTATAACTGTATTTACTAAGTCCCATGAACCTCCAAGTAGACCCTAAACCCTCAACCCTATAGATCCCTTTCAGGAACCCTATAGATCCCTTTAAGGAGCCTTTTAAGGAGCTCTTTACTAAGTCCCATGAACCTCCAAGTAAACCCCAAACCCTAAACCCTTAAAGGGAAGCCCATGATAGAGCCCTAAAGCACCCTTAAAGGGAGCCCTAAACCCATGAACCTCCAAGTATACGAAGCCTAAGGAGAGTGGCTACAACTGGGATGTGAGCCTGGGCCTCCTCTCAGGCCTCCGCGTCCAGGGCTCCTTTGCGGGTTCCTTTGCAGGGTTCCTTTAAGGATTGATTGAAGGGTGCAGGGTTTAGGGTTTAGGGTTTAGGGATTTAGGGTTTAGGGGTTTAGGGTTTAGGGTTTAGGATTCATTGAAGGGTTTACTTGGAGGTTCATGGGACTTAGTAAGTACAGTTATAAGTTAGAAGTACCTTAACAGAGGTTATTATTGGTTACAAGTATAGTTGACTTACTTATAGCCGTAGCCACTAAGTCCCATGAACCTCCAAGTAGGGTTTAGGAGTTTAGGGTCTAGGGTGTAGGGGGGTTCCTTCAAGGATTAATGTTGAAGAGATCCTTTCCAGCGGTTCTCCAAGGGTAGTTAACCATGAGGGTCTAGTCTAGTGGGATTTGTACGACTTTCTGTTGAGCTCTCAGTTTCAAGATGCGGTCTTTACTTGCAGGGTCGGGTTATAAACAGGGTAACCATACTTATAATTACTTATAACCCCAATTAAGGTAATTATAACCCTACTTGCCAAGTCCCATGATTCTACAGGTAGGATTATGAACCAGGGAGGCTATCCACAGCGGGGAGAACCTCTACCAGCTAAGCCGCGAGGATGTACTCCTCATGTGCCGCTACTCGCACCCACAGGAGTCCCCCGCTAGGATGAGAGCAGACGAGCTGCTCGCTATGCTCCTGCCGAGCTGGTACACGCAGTTCCACCCGGGCCGCTGCAACTGGTTGCTAGGGCATTCGGACTCCAATGCCGCTATTTTCCGTTGGCCTACCACATGTGAGATGTGCGGGCTACGCGCCTGCAACAGGCGCATGTGGTGGAAGATCGATGATCACGCTACGCACTGCTGCGATGGCTGCAAGAGGCTCTCCAAGGGAGAAGACTTCGGCAGCCGCTGAGCTGCAAAGCAGGGAGCACACTTTTTGGGAAGCTGCTGGCGCAAATCCCAAGCCTTAAGCCCTCATCCAAGCCGTGAAACTCCAAGCCCATAAACCCAATAGAGCAAAGCTTGCTAGAGTTTAGGGTTTAGGGTTTAGGGAGCTTGCTGAGCTGGGCCTTTCTTAACATCCTTTAGCTGAATGATGCTTTGGGGTACTATGCATTGCAAACTACATCTAGACACAAACTATTCAGACCCCGATAGTAGGGGCGGGTAAGGGGAAGTAAGAAGGATCACTACCTGCCATCGCTGGGGTTTAAGAGCCACGGGCAAGGTTTAGGGTTCGGGGTTTGGGATTTCAAAGACTTCCCTCACAACCCTCCTGCCCTAAACCCTCAACGCCAATCCCCTAAATCTTAGACCTTGCTCCCTAAAGCTGCTTCGCTTTCAACAACAAAACCCTAAACCCTAAACCCTAAACCCCTACACCCTAAACCCTAAACGCCTCAACCCCAATGCCTTGAAACCTAAACCCCTACGTAAGCCACACCCGTGTTAGATCCAATAAAGTAGGCCAAGCCCAAATCCGCTTTTCGAACGCTAAAACCTACAGTACCCCTTACTTGGAAGGGCAGGGGGCTTAGTAAGTAGGTTATAAGTAGAGTTATAAGTACCCTAAATGGAGTTACCCCAATTATAACCCTACTTATAACCTACTCAATAAGTCCCCTGCCCTTCCAAGTGTGGAACCTCGATAGAACCCTTAAGGGTTCCTCTGGCGGTTCCTTTCAGCTTTCCTGTAAGCTTTCCTTGAAGGGTTTCTTATTGCAGGGAACCCAAAACCCTATCCCTAAAATCCGAAACCCAAAACCCTAAACCCCAAACTCCAAACCGCAAAACCCCCAAAACCCCCAAACCCCAAAACCCAAAAACCAACCCGAAACCCTACAGTCTTAAACCATAAACCCTAAACACTGACACCCAAAACCCTAAACCCTGAAACCCTAAAGTCCTAAACCCGCCAACCCTAAACCCTAAAACCCTAAACCCTAAAACCCTAAACCCTGAAACCCTAAACCCCAAACTCTGAAACCCACAACCTCTAAAAAAAACCTATAGATCCCATATAGATCCCTTCAAAGGAACCCTTAAAGGAACCCTAAAAGAACCCCTTAAAAGAATCCTATATACAGATACCTTATAGATCCCTTAAAGGAGCCCTAAAGAACCCCTAGAGCCCTAAAGCAAGAGGAGCCCGGCAAGCCGAGCTCGGTATCGATCTCCAGCTCGCCAGCAGCGCCATGCATGTCTGCCGGGAAGCCCAGAGACTCGAGGAATACCTAGGGGTTTAGGGTTTAGGGCTTAGGGGGCTTAGGGGTTAGGGTTTAGGGTTTAGGGGCTTAGGGGTTTAGGGGTTTAGGGTTTAGGGTTTAGGGGCTTTGGGTTTAGGGGTTTAGGGGTTTAGGGGTTTAGGGGTTTAGGGGTTTAGGGTTTAGGGTTTAGGGGCTTAGGGGCTTAGGGGTTTAGGGTTTAGGGTTTAGGGGTTTAGGGTTTAGGGTTTCGGGACTGGAGGAATACCTAGGGTCCCTGTACTAGAAAGGTTCCTTTAAAGGGGTCGTTAAGGGATTTATAGGGATTAAGCCCAGAGACTCCAATATCCCTGGATTGACGAATACCTAGGGCTCCTTTAAGGGATCTAGAAGGGTTCCCTTAAAGGGATCCTATAAGAGATCTGTAGGGTTTGGGGTTTAGGGGACTCCAATATCCCCTAATTATGGCATATACCTTAAACCACATCAGGGATCCTGCTATAATTCAAGGTATGTTCCTGAATTAAGGCATGTGTGCCGGGAATCCCAGAAAGAAGAGCTGATGCGCTCAGGGCCTTTAGGGCCTTTAGGGGCTTTTAGGGGCTTTTAGGGTTTAAATTTCCTAGGGTCCTAGGGCTTCAAGGCATAGGGGCTTCAGGGTTTTAGGGTTTCAAGGTTTAGGGGCTTCAGGGGTTTTAGGGCTTGAGCTGATGGGTTTAGGTTGGGTACTGCCCCCACTCTGTAACATGTAGCGTATCATACATACAGCGAATACGACCCCTAGCATATTCTGCTATAGGGTGGGGGCAGTACCCAGAGTTTAAGTTGGGCTTTAAGGTTGTAGGGCTGTAGGGGTTTAGGGTTTGCAGATTTTAAGGCTTCGGGGTTTTGGGTTTTTAGGGGTTAAGGGTTTCAAGGTCAAGGGGTTGTAGGGTTCAGGGTATAGAGTTTTGGGTTTTGGAGTTTGGGGGTTTTGGGTTTTGGGGTTTTAGGGTTTGGGGGTTTGGGGTTTTAGGGTTTTTGGGTTTTGGGGTTTTGGGGTTTTGGGTTTTGGGGTTTTGGGGTTTGGGTTTTGGGGTTGCAGGGTTTGGCCCAAACCGTGTGGGGTTCTTCGGTTTCAGATTTTTCGGGTTCAGGGTTTTGGGCTTCAGGGTTTATTAACAGTTTATTTTGTCCCAGACGTTCATAGGTTTTAGGGTTCCTCTAACTCACCGGCTTCGTAGGTTTGGGTTTAGGTTTGGTGAAGGATACCTTTTGGAGCTAAGCATACGAGCGTTCGAAACTGGGGTTCCTTTCAAGGATAGGCACCATGGGTTCTTTGATAGGGTCCACCTGTACAAGGTCCCTTTACACGGATCTGCAAGGGTTGCTATACAGGTTTAAGGTGTGCCGGCAAGCCCAGGAGCTTATAGGATAAGCCCTAAACCCTAAACCCTAAACCCAAACCCTACACCCAAACCCTACACCCTAAGGTATAAGTAATTATAAGTATGGTTCCCTGGTTATAACCCTATTTACTAAGTCCCATGATCCTTTAAGCAGACCCTAAACTCTGGAGCTGAAAAACCTAACTTCTTAGGGTTCATTCGGTTGATTATATAAACCTGCATTACCTTAAGGACCCTTAACTGTGGGAATTAAGGTATATTCCTTATTATGGGTAATGCAGGTTCTATGTCATCAACCGTAAGTCCCATGATCCTTTAAGTAGGGCTCTTAAAGGTTCGTGTATCGGATTCTACAGGCCCAGAGGCTCCAAGTTCCTTCAATTCGGGGTTATGCCTGAAATCATAGAGGGGTGCTGTGTACGGTTGAAGGAATATTCCTTAGTTAGGGAGTCTTCTGAGTTTCTGGGGTGTTTGCTTGGGTCTTCTTGGTTGAGTCGGTCGGGTTTAGGGTTTAGCGTTTAGGGATGAGGGATTTAGGGTTTAGGATTCTTTTGAAGCTTTTACTAGGGTTTCAAAAGGGGCTTCGCCAGGTTTCAACGCTCCATTTTGCAGGCGGTTACTTGGAGGTTCATGGGACTTAGTAACTACAGTTATAAGTACCTTAAAAGGGGTTATAACTACTTATAAGCATAGCTACCTATTATACCCGTAGTTACTAAGTCCCATGAACCTCTAAGTACTCCGTCTTTATGCCTTTGCATGTGGTCAGTGCTCTTGTAGTCGGTTCAGGGAGTGCGGGGATGAGAGGATCGGGGGTTGGGTCTTTGGGGTGACGGTTTCAGAAACTTTAGTTCAATTACACGGTCGCTTGGGTTCGAGGTTTGAGTGTTTTTAGGAGTGTGAGTGGTTCAGTCAAGGTTCGGGTTTATAATTTTGTGCTTCTGCGCTTTCGGGGTTCAGGGGTTGAAGGTTCTACAGAGTTCACGATTTTGTTTGGGTTTGCGTTCAGGATTCGGGGCTCGTGCCGTCGTGTTCTAAGTTTTATGGTGTGGTGCGGGTGGTTTCCAGTTGCGAACCCAGGCACGCCGAAATCCTAAGCGGTCGTGGGGGGTACCACAAAAGCTGGAATGGTATCATGACTTCCAAACCGACAACCCCCGAAACCCCACTGTACTCCGACAGCCCTGTAGGCTCTTGCGGGTTTGTTTGGTATATCCTACACTTCCTCAACCCCTCAACCTTAAAGCCCAAGCCCCAAACTCTGAAAACCTAAGCCTCCGATACCTGAGCCTGAGCCCGAAAGCCCCTCACAGCCAAATTAATTGCATTGAGTTTAGGGTTTTAGGGTCCAGAGTTTGCCTGTAGCCCAAACGACCTACCTTTTTAAGGAACTGTATATGGCAAGTTGTCAAAATTATGGCCCCTTTTTGGGTCCCTAATATAGTACGGCACCTAATGTTTAGGGTATCCAAAAAGGGACCCTAATTTTGACAACCACTCATATACAGTACAAAGCATAATAATGAACCCTAAGAAGGTAGGTTTTTGCAGCTCCAGAGTTTAGGGTCTACTTAAAAGGTTCATGGGACTTAGTAACTTGGGTTTTACTTACTGTAACTATACATATAATTAGTTGCAATCCCAGCTAAGGTGCTTATAACTGTCCTTACTAAGTCCCATGATTTTCCAAGTAGACCCCAAACCCTGAACCCTGTAGATCCCTTTAAGGAACCCTATAGATCCCTTTAAGGAGCCTTTTAAGGAGCCCTTTAATGAACCCTAAGAAGGGCTCCAGAGTTGAGGGTCTAGGGTTTATGAGACGTGCGCGAAAACTGCTCACGTGATGGTGGTAGGTGTCAGCTTTGGAGCCCGGAGCTGTTCAATACAGGGGGTTCGGGGGGTTCAGGGTTCAGGGTTTAGGGTTTAGGAAGTCGAAATATAGATTAGAATCGGATTGTGGGGGTTCCATATTATAGTTATGGTATAATAAACCTCTAGACCCTATTCTAATTATTAGGGCCTCTATATTATGGTTTGCGCATCTGAGGGCTTGGGCTAGCATGTGTGCTCATACGAACGATCCTCAGATTTTAGAGTTCGCATTAGGTTCCCGTTGGCTTCCTTCTTGCCCTGAGAAACAGGTGAAGGCAGCCAGCAATGGGCGACTTGGCAAATGTCAGAGCAGGAGACAGAGCTATGGCCATTGGTTCAGTGTTCAGGGGCTGTTCTTCTGTTGTAGCTGATGCACAAGTGCAGTATGATATAATACTTAGTGGGTCCTTAAGGGAGGGTAGTTCAAGGGGGGAAGGTACAAGAGATCCTTAGGGAACTTTAAGGGAGCCTTAGGGAGCACTAGGGAGAACTAGGGATCAGTAGGTTATCTACCCCCCTTGGAGCCCCCCCAATAAGGACATTATCAACCAACCAAGTTACCCTTTCTAAGAAGAGGTTCCAGTTGTCGATGAACTTTGCTCAAGAAGACCTGAACAACCTGGACCTGGAGTGCGCACCGGGCCTGTGTTTTGTCGAACCTAGCATTTAGGGCTTATCCGTAGCCTCAGAACATCATCACCATCAATATCGGTACAATCAAATTAACGACACCTTCATCGTAGTTCCGGTCATCATCTTCGTCATCAGCATCATCACCATCATCAGCATCAGCACCATCATCAACATCATCAACCCTAAACCCTAAACCCTAAACCCTAAACCCTTAACACCATCAACATCCCCAAGCTGAAGCCTAGGCCCAAGCCACTGCACTTTTCGGCTGCTTGCCGCAGTGGCGGATGAGGCTTTGGGGACTTGGGGGTCGGCGTGCGCGGGCTCAGGATACGGTTTAGGGTCCCTAATTTCGGGTTTAGGGTTCAGGGAGTTTTTGGGTTTAGGGTTTAGGGTTCAGGGTTTAGAGTTTTTGGGTTTAGGGTTTAGGGTTCTGGCTTTAGAGTTTTTGGGTTTAGGGTTTCGGGCTCAGGGTGTGTCAAGCGAGGGCGCGCGCTCGGGTGTGAAGCACCCCGGGCCGCGCGCTCGCGTCGCTGGTCAACCCACCCCGGCCACCCAAACTATACTCTATTAGGGTTTAGGTTTTTTTTAGCTTGCTTTTTTTAGTATGTTTCCTCTTGCGTGATTCTGGTTTATGTATACTTTTGGTTCCTAGAGATGCTTGGGCCTTGGGATGCCACAGGACCAATTTAAGTAGGGTTCGGGGCTTCGTGTACCAAGAGTACACGAGCGAATGCAACCGCGAGGCGGAGGCGCGGGACGCCGTGCCCGGAAAGAGCAATCGAAAAGTGAAAGTCGATAGGCGGCGGCCGCCGCCAAGCTCGGCCCCGACGAGCGGCCGGCACAAATCGCGCGGGCAAAGGCCCGGGCTGCGAAGGCTGCGGCCAAGGCCCGCGAGGTAGCTGAAAAGAACTCTCAGTTCTATGTCTCCACCCCCGCAATGTCGAGGCGAAGGCCAAAGAACTTCAGCGACTGCAGCGCGAGGTCGCCAAGCGGCGCGAGGCCCGCAGGTAGCGAGGCGGCTTTACCGCGTAGCACTGCCCCCTGTAAGCCCTTGTTAGGACGCAAAGCGCTGGAGAGAGAATGCGAACACGATCCGCAACAACAAGCGGGCCGAGCTCAAGAGGAAAACGGATGAGGGAGACGAAGAGGCTCTCCTCGCTGAGAAGCATGCAATTCAATACAGATGCAGGTCTACAGAACTGCCGCCATGGCAGGCCAGAAAGAAACTCCAGGACCTTCGCAACGCCGACAAATAACGGCAGAGCGACAAACGCCTCCGAGACCAAGCAAAGGACGCCCTAGAAAGCTGTGCTTTTTGCTTTTGAAAGCACCCTCGTCAAAAGGCGACGCCGGAGCTTGTGGCCTTGGAAGGCACACTACCTGTACGCGGCCAAGCCAAGGCGCGGTGATGCCCCAGACACGAGCAGCAACTTTGTAGCACCCACGAGGCGGCCGGCAAAGCCAAGGCAAAAGCCGGGGGCAGAGGAACGCGACGTCCTATGCAGCAAGGTAAAAGTACTTGAACCGAGGCTCTCCGAACCTCATCGTCAAAAGCTTCCCGGAAGCCCAAGGCATCGGGGCCTTCACAGCCGGAAAAAATGCGAAGAGCTCGTGCTAGGTCGCCGCTTGCGCAGCAGCAGACCGAGCAGAGGCCGAATCCCCCAAGACTTTGCCGGGACGACAATCTCTGTTTTGCTGAGGAATCCGACAAAGACTTCTGGGACGAGTTGGGCTTGGGGCAGGCCCAGGCTACGTTGCACCCTAAACCCTGAATCGCCGAAGTCGAAGCCGAACCATTGGCGCTTGGTGCAGGACGCAGCCACCAAGCCCGCGGGCGATGTGCCGGAGGCGAAGGCCAGGACTAGCCTAAATCCGCTAAATCTGTCAGTCAGCAGGAAACTTGTAAGCCCTGCCACAAGAATTGGGAGTGCCAGCTAAAGTCGCAGAGGCCTTGTCCTGAAAACCTCGACCCTAAACGGAACATGAAAACCTTCGCAGAAACTGGAAACAAACCCAAAAGCACTCTTCGACTAAGCCCCTGCAGCCATAACCGAAAGCCTAAGCTTTAAATCTTCCACCTGCAGAGAAACAAGCTCTTGAAAAAGTAGACCATAAGCGGAAACTCAAAATCTTTAGGCAGAAGCTGAAGCCTTCGCACTGCGCAGGACTCAGCTGTCGAGCCCGCGGACAAGGTGGAAGAGGCGGACAGCAGCTAGGCTACCCACACTAGTACCGAACTCCCCCAAGCTTTGTCTAGTCCGTACGATTTCGAGAGCCTGGAAGAAGTTTTAGGAGCCCCTAACCGACACAAAGACCTTGAGCTTAACCCCTCAAGCCTCACAGCGCCTTCGCCCTGAAACCACGGACACTACGGTCCCCGTGGTGGAGGCGGACGCGGGCGGCCGACGCATAGCCAACCTGCCAACCGTCAAGAAAGCAGTGTCCGAAACAACCTAAGCCCCCATTTTGCCGAGTCGCCTATGAAGACTGTGTATTCTGAAGGACCCAGCTACCGACCATGGCCAGAACATCGACGAGGCGGAAACAAGCTAGGGTCACCCACATTGCGCATTCGCTGCAGCACATATGCACAACTTGTAAAAGCTTCCGCAGGCCTTCGGAGCACCAGCGACCGAGGCAGAGGCGACGTCAGGGCCCACACGGCAGTGATCATACCATTCCACCTGTCGATGTGACAAAGGAGCAGCAGCAGATGCAGGCGGCACTGGCCGCTTCTGCGCAAATGACATCAAAGTGTCCGCACCTTCGGGTAGACCCTGCAGAGTGTGACAGGCAAGGGACTCAAGAGACAGGCACACACAGTCTTCTGAGTGACATGCGACAGGGACGCCCGCAGGAGCTACTAGAACCTGCAGGCAGGAGCGCTCCAACCTGAAAAAAGTAGGCCACACAGCTTGAAACGGCAGGCTTCGTGAGTGACATGGAAAACCGGAAAGAAGGCCACAAAGTGGAAAAGGTTGGGTCGCCGCGTGAGTGTCGAGCCATTACTTTTATGTTTTTTAGTGGCATAAAAGACGAAACCACACACACACACATGTATCGATGTTCCAGTTTCCAAGGTGAGGAACAGCCCCGTCGCCCGGACGTCTGTGTTCGGGTGAGGCACTCGAGGGTGCCTGTAAGAACGGTGGCCAAGCCTCTTAAGCCCCGAGCGTTTGGAAACTAGTATCCTCCGCAGGCATTTCATACTGTTGAGGCCTGGAGAACTAAATCTTCAACATAGGTCCTAGGCCTAAACCCTAAACCTAAACCCTATCTATCTAAATCCTGGTCCTTAAATATCTTAAATTCTGGTTGTCAGATCCTGCGCCTTGCTCGAGGTGCCATAGACGGCCGGCCTAAATCCTAAATCCTAAACCCTAAATCCTAGAATCCTAGAATCCTAAGTCCTAAACCCTAAACCCTAACTCCTAGGATCCTAAACCCTAAAACTCAAAAACCCTAAACCCTAAATCCTAGAATCCTAAACCCTAAATCCTAAAATCCTAGAATCCTAAACCCTAAATCCTGAATCCTAAGCGCCCTCCAGAGTCAATGGGGCACGATTTGGGGTTACTCTTTAGCTACGCTAAAGGTGGTCTGGATACGGCCAGCCTTTAATTGAGTTCGGACGTTGTCGTAAACAAGGCCACATTCGTTGGCCTGTCCAGGACAGGCGGCGAGGCTTAACCCTCGCCTTTCCGTCTCTCTTTCCGTATGGGCGCTCGGGCTGTGAGGCCCTCGGCCAAGCGTTCGGGGTCTGTCGCTCGACGTCTGCGACCCTTCTCTTAGTTTAGAGTTTTTGGGTTTAGGGTTTAGGGTTCAGGGTTTAGAGTTTTTGGGTTTAGGGTTTAGGGTTTAGGGTTCAGGGTTTAGAGTTTTTGGGTTTAGGGTTTAGGGTTCTGGGTTTTTGGGTTTAGGGTTTAGAGTTTTTGGGTTTAGGGTTTAGGGACTTCGCATGAGCTTCATAGTGTGGTTTCGAGCTTGATTCCGACCCTACACTACTCAGTGACTTTCCACAACCCACCCAGCACGGCAGAGTTCCTGGCCTCAATTGGTCATGTCTGTGTGTGTGTGTGTGTCTGTCTGCGTGGCACTTGATCGCTCGGTACGATAGGATAGCGCGGATATTGGCCGAGACAGTTCGAACAGGGCTTTGGGGCAGTAATTATACTCTGGTGAAAGGGGAGAGTACCACCAATCCCGCACGCATCTTACAATGACCTGCAAGACCGACTACCCTAAACACTAAAACTGAAACCCAAAGCCCTTACTCGACCCGAAATTCTAAGCTGTAAGGTTTGGGGTGTTGCCCTACTCCTCTAGCACTTTGCAGTTCTGGAGGATCTGCCAAAACCTTTCTGCAGACGTGTACACTCCCCCCCCATAAACCCTACACCCTGTACCCCCTAAACCCTAAGCTCTACCTTAAATAACCCCACATAGCTTACCTTCTTAAGGACTTGTATAAAGAAATCATATTAGGGAACCCGAAAAAAGGCAGGTTCCTTAGGGTCCAGGTAAACCCTGCACCCTGACCCCTAAACCGTGGCCCGCAAACCCTGAACACCAAACCCAAGCCCTGCCACAGCAGGCCCGACTTAGCTGCCTTCGGCTCGGCCTTAAGCGCGTGCAAGGTGCTCTCTCTTTTTTTAAAATGTGTGAGTTTTTTTTCCCCTATTTTTTTGTGTATTTTTTTGCTTTGGGCCTTGTTAAGGGCTTGAAGGTTTCTACGGGTTTAGGGTTTCAATGGGTCGTTTTCGGTTTATCTGGGTTTTGTCAGGGGCTTCGTTTGTATAGGCTTTGTTGTGGGGTTTGAAAGGGTGTACAGGTCTTTCATTATTCAGGCATCTACATTAGAAGGGGCCCCCACCCTGTAATAGCGGTATAGTAGGAATATAATAGGGCCCGAATATAGTTCTTATAGTCACTATTACAGGGTGGGGGCCCCTTCTAACATCTACAGGACAAGCTGGGTCTCCGGTTTGAGGGTTTGGGAGGATGTTCAAAAGTCCCGAGACACCTCTTGTATACACTGTTTTAGACCCTTGATTAAGAGCCCCTCAATCAACAGGGGGATGGTTGATCAGTCACTTGCTTACATTGGTAAGTTGAGTAAGATTTAAGTCTTTCGTGCTTCATCCTTCTCGTAATTAGTACTAGTACTTGAGGTACTACCCGTCGTAGTAGTAGTAGTAGTAGTAGTAGTAGTAGTAGTAGTAGTAGTAGTAGTAGTAGTAGTAGTAGTAGTAGTAGTAGTAGTAGTAGTAGTAGTAGTAGTAGTAGTAGTTCGTTAGTTAGTTGCAGTTGTACTAGTAGCAATAGCAGTAGCAGTCGCAGCAGCAGCAGCAGTTGTAGTAGTAGTTGTGCCAGTAGCAGTAGCAGTAGCAGCAGCAGTAGCAGTAGCAGTAACGGTAGCGGTAGCAGTAGCAGTAGCGGTCAGCCATAGTGTTAGTGGTAGTGCTAGTGATAGTGGTAGTCGTATTAGAAGTGGCAGTTGGGCTGGTGGTGGTTTTGACAGTGGCGGTGGTGTTGGTGGTTTCATTCTATGTTGCAGATGTTCAGGTGCAGCGCTTATAGTATGGAGCATGGTGCTTAGGTTAGGATTTGCATGAAAGCAAGACCTTAAACGCAAAACATCGTAGCCTGAAGCAGGGAACCAAATGCATTACCGTTCCTTAAACACCAAATCCCAGACCCCAAACCAGGGCGGCAGCGCTTGGCAATCGGCTGCGAGCCTCCTACAAGCACTCGCGATTCGCCGACCTGGCATGCTTAGTGCTCTTGGGGTTTCGGCTTTTCATGGGGTTAAGCTTCAGGTATCACGGACTTCAGTACGTGCGGTTTACTGGTAATCCCAAGTGAGCATTTTGCAACCCTACTTGCAAGAACCCTTAAACTTCGAAGAACGGGGAAGCGTGGGTCTTGCGCAAGGCTTGCTTTGCGCAGAGGGTTTTGGGGCTTGAAGGGCTCGCTTGGCTTGGATTTCTGTGTTTACGGTTTTAGGGTTAAGGCTTCAACAACAAGCTTGCTTGCAGGGTTCTAAGAGCTTTATTAGGTTTCGTAGGGGTTCAGGAAAAATTTTCTAACATTTTTCCTTACGCTTCCTTGTGATAATTATTAGGGTTCCCTGTACAGACCCCAAAACCCTATTCCAATTGTGATGGCCCCCTGTATTGCAGCCTTAGTCCTAAAGCCCCAATGCGAGGCTCATGGAATCCGCACGTAGTCTTTGTGTGGAATGCGGTTCATCAAAGCTGCGGTTTCGATTTTGGGCTTAGAGTGCAGAAGTCATGGTGTACGATGCTTGTCTCAGGGCTTAGGTTCAAGGATTTTGGTTTAGGGTTTAGGGTTCAGGGTTTGGGTTTAGGGTTTAGGGTTTAGGGTTTAGGGTTCAGGGTTTAGGGTTTTGGTTCAGAAGCGGCTTAGCAGAGCGCGTTTGCGGACAAGCAGGCGGTAGCCTGCCGGCGACACGGGTTCAAACGGTACTTTTACATGACGATGGCCCATGGCTTGAATTGCTGCGACGGGGCTTCTTTACAAGGTAAGCCTTTTAGCCAGTATTTACCACGTCAAGGGCCCTAGATGGGATATACACACCAGTCCGCAAGCCTTCTTAAAATCGCGTCCTTCGGGAGTGACAGAGGAGACTTATACTAGATGCACTAGAGCTTGTATGTCGTACATTCTACCTAAACCCCAAACCCGAAACCCTCCAACCCCTCAACACCCTGAAGCCCTATAGCCCCAGACTTCAAGCCTAACTCCCAAGCGGCGTCGGGTTTAGGGCTTAGGGTTTAGAGTGAAGGGGACAGAGATCAAATTCCAGGCCGTCTGCCTCGGGACACAGCTGCCTTCAGTGCAGGCAAAGTGGCAATACAATGAGGGTTCCTTCTTGGAGGTTCATGGGACTTAGTAAGTACAGTTATAAGTACCCTCATTGGGAGTATAAGTACATATAAGTGTAGCTACCTTAATTATAACCCCAGATGCTAAGTCCCATGAACCTCTAAGTCTGAGCTTGCTGTTTCTGGGTTCTATAAGACTTGCGGTCCCAGTTTGTCAGGTTGATGGATGCTTCCGGTTTAGGCTTAACTCTTCGGGTTCCCGGTCTAGGGTTACGATGCGGGTTTTAGAATTTCGGGTTCTTGGGAAGGGTTTTGGGGTTGAGGCGCGGCTCCAGACGGTCAATCGCATCTCGTCGGAAGATGTCTAGGATGCCCAGTAGTACCCTTATTCCCTTTTTGTAGTCCTAGGTTCCTTATAAACTTACCCAATACCAAAAAGAGAGGCCTTTTTATTCTTAGGTTACTGGGTATCCTAGATGTGGATCGGAATAATTATCAGCACAATTCCTGGGAGTCCCTCCTAAGCCCGAAACTCAAACCCCAGACCCCATACCCAGACCTCCCATCTACCCTCGAACATACACCCCAAATACCCACAATTCATTGTAAGTATGTTATAATCTGCCCCCCCAAACTCTATTCCACTCTATGAAACGTTCAGCTGCTGTCGCTGGACTACCCAATCCGCCTAACCTGATACGTCTTCGCATTCTGATTCCGGCGTGGTTTCTTTGCTGTGACCTACCTGATGGCGGTGGACATGCGGAGTGGTTCGATTTTCATGTGTGGAGCGACATGCTCATTGACCATGTGAAACAACGACTCTCGCAACTCCTTTATCAACGCCATGGACGTTATTTGCACCCATCTCATTTTCAGCTGCTCCAGGGCGACCGCCACCTCTCCTACATGAGAAGTACTACAGCGATCTCCACTGTTAAGGACGCTGAGATCCTCCGAGAAGCACCTGCCTGTGGAAGTCTACTTGAAGCCCGCCGGACGTCCTGGCAACCGGCCATAGAACTACCTCAAGGTACTACGCCGACTTGGGGACGTTGACGTCAAAAGAGTCCGCTGCCTCCTCCTGTGTCGTGTTCTTCGTTCTTTTATACATACCGCAGAAACCCTAGACCCGAAACGTTGAACCCCAAACCATGACCCCTAAGCTCGTCCTGGACCACTTCGATACCCTGGAACACCCAACTGCGTAATACAAGCGTCAGAATGCTATTCCTTGGGTGCAGTTCCAGTATACTGGACCCACCCTAAACCCTAAACCCCTTAAACCCCTAAACCCTAAACCCTTTAACCCTTAAACCCCTAAACCATTAACCCTAAACCCCTAAACCCTAAACCCCTAAACCCTAAACCCTAAACCCTAAACCCCTAAACCCCCTAGATCCTAAATCCTATTCCCCTTAGAGGAACCTTTTGGAGCCGTTGCAACAGGCTTGGCATCTTTCAGTGCCGAGGTTCCTTAGGGGACCGGCGGGGGAATCAGGGACGTAGAGTTTTTTGGGTTTCAGGGTTTCAGGTTTGGACTAGTTAGACATTTTCCAAAGTCGGGTTAATAGGGTGTAGGGTTAGGGTCTAGAGTCAAGAGTTTAGGTTTTGGGGATATGGTCTGGGGGGCTTATGGGTTAGGCTTTGCAGCTTTAACAGTTGTGGGTTTGGGTTTTTTTTGGGGTTCGGGGTGTAGGTGACGAGTTTCGTGTTGAAGTCAGTAGTCACAAGACATTTAGGTTCGGGTCAAGTGTTTGAGAGCTTTTCGGAGTTGTTCTTTCTCCATTAGGGAACGTTGGGTTCAGGGTTTTTAGCGTGTGGGGTTTGGGTTTTAGGGTTTGAGCGTGTTTGGCTCTTTTAAGCAGAGTTGAGTAGAAGGTTTCAAGTTTAGGGTCAAGATGTTGAGCGTTTCCGGGTGTTTGCGGTTTGAGAATTCAGAGACGGCCTCTGGTGTTTTCTGCCAGGCGTTTTGCAAGGCTCTGCATCGTTTAGGCCAGTAGATCCTTCTTCCAGGTCCTTTCGTTTCTCCGAAACTCTACTTGGAGGATCATGGGACTTAGAAAGTAGAGTTATAAGTACCTTAACTGGGGGTTATAACCAATTATAAGCATAGTTACCTTGTTTATAACCATAGTTACTCAGTCCCATGATCCCTTAAGTAGACCCTAAACCCTAAACCCTATAGACCCCTTTAAGGAACCCCTATAGATCCCTTTTAAAAAGGGACCCTTAAAGGAACCCTAGTCAATAGGTCCCATGAACCTCTAAACCCTAAGCCCTACACCCCTTAAGTGCAAGCGAAGATCGTTAAGTAGACCCTAAACCCTAAACCCTTAAAGGGAGCCCTATTACAGAACCCTATAGTACCCTTAAGGGACCATAGTTACTCAGTCCCATGATCCTTTAAGTAGATCTATTGCAAGCGGAGAGTGAGTCTCGTTCGCATCATTTGATCCCCAAATCCCTAAACTCTACTTGGAAGGGCAGGGGACTTAGTAAGTAGGTTATAAGTAGAGCTGTAAGTACCCTAAATGGAGTTACCCCAATTATAACCCTACTTACTAAGTCCCCTGCCTTTCCAAGTAGGCCCTAAACCCTCCCAGAGACTCCACTATCCCTTAATTAGGAAGTATTCCTTAAATCATAGAAGGGATCCTACTATAATTTAAGGAATATTCCTTAGAAGCTGCCCCACCCTGTAATAGTGGTGTAATAGGAATATAATAGGGCCCTAATATAATCCTTATAGTCACTATTACAGGGTGGGGGCAGCTTCTAAAAATATTCCTTAATTAAGGGATATTGGAGTCTCTGGGCTGAAGCCTAAACCTTAAACAGCAAACGCAAGCCCAAAACCGATGAGCCAAAAGCTTCTCTACACCGGAGATGAGCTAAACCAGAGTCGCCGACTCGGGTCTCTTTCGGGGATCCTCAGAGTGATTCAGGATTTAGGATTTAGTTATAGGGTCTTGTTATGGTTTAGGGTGAAGGGTTTAAGGTCTCGCGTTTAGCGTTGAGGGTTTACGTTGCAGTGAATACCCAGAGACTCCAATATCCCTGAATTCAGAAATATATACCTGAAATCATATTAAGGACCCTACAAAAGTTAATGGAAAATCCCTTAATCAAGGGATTTTGAGGCCTCTGGGAAGTAATTAGAATAGGATAATAAGGAGCCCCCAAAATGGTATTGGTACTCATTTAGGCCCCTAGTTTTCGGAAACTCTTAACCCTTATCGAGCCGGTGAAAGGAGCCCTTATAGTACCCTTATAGTAGCCCTTTACAGGAACTTAAGGTACCCCTAATTAAACCTTTTTTTAGGCCCCTGTATCATAGTACCCTTATAGATCCCTTTTAGACCCCTGAAATGCACCCGTGTAAAGGAACCCTATTCTAAAAGCGGTTGGTAAGTATTGAGTACCTTAAGTTCCTTTAAAGGGTTACTACAAGGGTACTATATGGGCTCCTTTAAAGGGCTCTAGAAGGTTTTAGACTTTCCGAAAACTAAGGAACTTAAGGTACCCCTACAGTAGAAGCCGGAAAGTTGGAATATCATTATCATAACCCCTTTTAAGGTAAATCATAGGGGATCCTGCCATTATTTCATATTCCAACTTTCTGGAGTTCCCTTTAATGCCCCCAAAAGCAGGCCTGGCCTCTGGGCATCGAGCTGCTCGCCGATGCCGCTGCTCAGGGCGCGGCGAATGCGGTGTGCGTCGCCCCGGAGACTTCAGGGTGGGCTTTTCAGGTTCTTGGTTTCAAGTTTAGGGTTTAGGTTTGATTGGGGGGGGTAGGGGATTATGCTTCCTTAAATAAGCTTTTTTGGTTTCTTATTATGGGCATTAAGGCCCCCTACCCCCCTCCCGCTACCCCCCTAAGGGTCCCAATGACACAGGGCGGGCTTTTCGGGTTCTTGGCTTCAAGTTTTCAGGGTTTGCAAACCCTAAACAGTAAACCCTAAACCCTAAACCCTGGTTTGGGGTTTAGGGGTCCAGGGTCTCGAGTTTGGCAATCGGAGGGCTGCGACTGGAAATATTTCGTACGCAAAATGTCTTCGTCTTTGATCCTCTTCAAGCCAGTTCAAGTACTCGGACACTTGGAGGATCATGGGACTTAGTCAGTAAGGTTTTAGGTACCTTAATTGGGGATATAAGTAATATTAGAAGTATGGTTACCTTATTTATAACCCTAGGTACAAAGTCCCACGATCCTTTAAGCAGTGTCCGACATTTGTAGAAACTTCAGCCCTGAAGCTGCAATGCATGTCCTTATTGACAGGAGGGTGGGGGTAGGGGTTCAAAAGGTTTCTTCAAGCTTGTTGTATCCGGTCCAGAGGTAAGGGTTTGGGTGGGGGTTTGCTTTCGTTGTGTGGTATCTTCTTCTTCACATGAACTTGGATCGCCCACACAGCATTCTGCATTCTGGATCGGGGCTTACGTGCTCGTTGAGATTTTTTGCGCTCTGGTGGGAAGTGTCTTGATGGTTCTTGGTCGTCATCATCATCACCAGCACCATCAGCATCAGCATGCTCCTCTTCCTCCTCCTCCTGGTCCTCCTGTTCACCAGCTTCATCTTCATGATCTGCTTTCCCATCATCATTATCATCCCCATCTTTGCCATCACGTATCTTCACACTGATGGTCATCAGCGTGACCTACATTATCATCATCGACATCTTCAGCTTCATCATCACCACGAATCACGAACTGCAAGTATAGGCACAACATAGTCATTCGTAGCTAATTGGCCAGGGAAAAACACTTCGGCATCCAGGGTATCGTCATTCATTGGGAACAGAAAAGTGTGCCGCTGGCAGGAAGATAAGCTACTGCTAGTAGAACTTGGTTGCTGCTCGTATGATTCCTTTCTTCACTGTTGTGGTTCTAAAAGTAAGAGTAACAATAGGTGATAGTGGCTTACATGACGAGTAGTAGAGGAAGTTGTAGGGGTTGCGAATGATTCTTAGTTTCAGTCACAGCACAGTTGACACGGTAGCAATAGTAGTTTGGAGTTCTTTTCTTCTGGTTGGCTCTTAGGACTTTGACTTTTTGGGTTTCCGTATGAACTATAATAAGGAGGCCTAAAGTTTAAATTTTAGGAGGGTCCAGAAGTCAGCCAACATAGCATCGTATACATGGCAGTAGCAGTGTGGACGACGCCATTGGCATGATTTCAAAGCCAGTCATCATCTTCGTCGCCAGTCATCATCATCATCATCACCATCATCACTGCTTTGTCGCTGAGCCCGTATGGTTCTTAGTAGGGAATCGGGGAATGGATGATGGAGACTATTATTGGGGATTATATAGGGACTACGATAGGGATCCATTCCCCCAATCCCTACGAAGCACCAGACGGTAGTGTCCGGGCCCCGGCAGTTTGTTTGCAGGCCCAAGAGAGCCCAGCACAAACTTTTGAAGCTTGTGCAGTCACCTACTTGCCGCCATGTCGGAGTCGATCTTCCAGAAAACCATCCTCTGCAAATTTCACGCGACTCGGCGGGGTTTAGGGTTTAGGGTTTAGGTACTGGCAAGGAAGGGGAGATTTCCCGCTCTGGGGTTAAAGGGCTGAATATAGGGGCTTGAGTAATTGCGAATACTTTGAGGTTCCCGGGACTAAGTAACTATGGTTATAAACAAGGTAACTATACTTATAATTGGTTATAACGCCAGTAAAGTAATTTATAACTGTACTTACTAAGTCCCATGAACCTCCAAGTACCGTTTTTAGGGGGGCATCATGACCCATCGGCAGCCTTAGTCCTGGGTTTAGGGGTTTAGGCACGGTTTAGGGTTTAGGATTTAGGGTTTAGGGGTTTAGGGTTTAGGGGTTTAGGGTTTAGGGTTTAGGGGTTTAGGGGTTTAGGGTTGATCTTTTGAAGCCCGAAAGTGTTGAGGGGCGTCAAAGTTTGGGGTCTTAAGGAGAGTGCGCCGGCTGCTGCTGATGTAGCTTCCGCTTTGGGGCTTCAGTAGCATTTCGAAACCTGTAAGATAGGGGTCGGAAAAATAAGAGTACATAGTTCCCAGTATGTTTGTAGGTGGCGAACATACTCCGAAGCTCCATTGCAATCGTGCAAGCCCCTACATCACTCATTCGGCCCCGAATTGTTCAGAAGAAGCTACGGAAAGGACCTGTACATCCTGGATGACTGTGCTCCGATTTTTGTCAGGTGCTGCCGCACGTGTCTCCCAAACTTAATACAGCAGCCCAGAAGCCTCAACAGAACGAGAATGATCGTCGTCGGCAGTAGCAGAAGCAGAAGCAGAAGCAGTAGCAGTAGCAGTAGCAGTAGCAGTAGCAGTAGCAATAGCAGTAGCAGTAGGAGCAGTAGTAGTAGTAGTAGTAGTAGTAGTAGTAGTAGTAGTAGTAATAGTAGGAGGAGGAGGAGGCGGACCAGGAGGACGGGGGATGAGGAGTGGGGGGAGGAGTCGGAGTAGGAGCAGGAGGGGGAGTCGGAGTTGAGTGGGGGTAGGAGTGGGAGTAGCAGCAGTGGCGGTAGCAGTAGCAGTAGCAGTCGCAGTGGCGGTAGCAGCAGCCGCTGCAGCGACAATCTCTGCAAAAGTCCATCCCCACGGTCTGAACCTAAGCTCTAAGCCCTGAGCCGTAATATAGGGGCCTAAATAATTACCTATACTGTTTTGTCGTCTCGTTAGTTAGAATTATTATAGTATAGCGGGCCCCAAAACCCTATTCTAACTATTCAGGCCCCTACATTAAGCCCCCCCGATAGCCTAAGCCTGAACCTTAGAACCCGCTAGTGCAAAACCCGCTGAAAGCCGCAAAAGCCCGGAGCAAGCTTTACAAACCCTACATCCCTCTTAAACCCCAATCCCCAAGACCCAACAATCCTAAACCCCAAACCCTAAACACCAAACCCTAAACCCGAAACCCTAAACCCTAAACCGTCCCAATCACAGTGGAGCCCTGATCCCTAAGCTTACGGTGAGGCGAAGGGCAAGTGCCAGAAGGGTGAGAGTTGCAAGTTTGCGCACGGGAAGACGGCTCTCAAGTTCAAGCCGGACGGTTGAGGGTTTAGGGTTTACTTGGAAGGGCAGGGGACTTAGTAAGTAGGTTATATGTAGAGTTATAAGTACCCTAAATGGAGTTACTCCAATTATAACCCTACTTATAACCTACTTACTAAGTCCCCTGCCCTTCCAAGTACTACACCCTAAACCCTAAACCCTAAACCCTAAGGGTTTAGGGTTTTGTCAAAGCGGCTCCTACGGGTTTTATAGAGGGTCTTACTACCCAGGCATTCGGGAGCATCCAGAAAGCAGATCCGATCGACTAATTTGGGGCTGAGCAGGGTTCCTTAACAGGATCCTTTAAGGGATCCTTTAGGGTTTAGGGTTTAGGGATTTTTCGGGAAAGCAGATCCCCTAATTTGCGGCCTTATACTACTAAGGGTACTTTATAGGAACCCCCATTAAGGGATCTACTTTTCGGATCCTCCCGGGGTCTGGGAATTTTTCTGGGTTTACAGGTGGTTTTAACCCCTAAACATCTTGGTTGGGGTTTAGGGCTTCGGGGGCTTCCGCATTTTAAGCAACGACGTCCGAGGATTTCTCGGGCGTAGGGTTCAGGGGTTTAGGGTTGAGGGTTGGGACGGTTTAGATTTTAGGGCGTTTCAGGTTTTGCTTGTGCAAGTATCTGTGGTGTGGCGTGCCCCGATTTGTGTCGGGAATTCTGCAAGGCTCCATTGAAACTCAGAGAAGTTTGAAGGGATTTCTGTAAAGCCCTTAAACACCCAGGGAGGGAACCTTACTACGCCTCACTTTGCACTGTAAGCCCAAGACCCCAAACAACCTTGAGCCCTACGCAACCCTGAACCCTCGAAGACCCCCACGAAACCCCAAACGCTCAAGTTTTCCTCAGCCCCAAACCCTGAGACTTGAAAAGCACAAAACCCCCAAAACCACGGTAAACGACTCACAGCTTGGAGCTTTAGGGAACCCTAAAACCCTAAAACCCTAAACACCTAAACCCTGAACCCCCAGAAGAAAAAGCAACTCCTTCGAGGACCTTTCAAAGACCAAGATGTGCACCACTTTCCGGGCCAGCTTGGCTCACTGGGTTTAGGGTTTAGGGCTTTGGGTTTAGGGTTGAGGGTTTGGGGTTTAGGGTTCTGGGTTTGGGGTTTAGGGCTTAGGGTTCTGGTATTCCATGCATCGGGTTGGAAGGTCAAGAGTTAATTTGGGAGCTTTAGGATTGGGCCGATCGTTTGGGTCTGCGGCAGAGCATACCTTAACCTACCAAAACCTACTTTTTTGGGGCCCCTCTGAGTTCTATACTGGGGCTTAGCTTGAGATAGTCTTTCGGTGTCAAGGTGCCTGCTCGTAAAGTGACGAGCGTCGGGTTGCGGTCCAAGGGCGGTCTTTGATTCGACTTGCTTAGCCCGTGGCCTTTACTTCAAGCTCGTCATCATTCTGAATCCTTCCTGGAGGATCATGAGACTTAGTATGTATAGTTGTAACTACATTAATTAATTAGGTCTTTAAGTATCGTTACCATATAAAGGGAACTCCAGAAAGTTGGAATATGGATTAATGGTAGGATCCCTATAATTTACCTTAAGGGGGTTACGATAATGATATTCCAACTTTCTGGCTTCTACTGTATGCCTCTAGTTACTCGGTCCGAGGAGCTTTGACCCTATCTGCCAAGGGTAGATGTTGTCACGGCTTGATATGGATTTCAACCACCTCTTCATTATGGTAATTTGAATGAAATTCCAAAATGTTTGTGGAGATACCCCGCAAACCGTATTGGGGGCCGTGAGTCTGAACGCTGAACATGAAGCCCATGTAGGCCTTGGGAGACTCATCCTACGAAGCTCGCCAGAAGCTGTTAAAGCCTAGAAGCGGCTGATGCTATACGGGCCTTAATCATTACCTATAATCACCATTTTGGAGGTTCCTTATTATGGTTATGATATAATGGGACCCAAAACCCTATTCTGATTATTAAGGCCTCTATATTGCAGGCTTATGCGGGTTTTTGTGGCTTCATATGGGTTCAGCGGGGCTTAGTAAGAAGAACTCTCCCTTGAAACCTAAGATCCACAACCTCAACTGTTGCGGGCCGTGAGTGCAGGGCTTAAACTTTCCCTTGTTAAACCACGACCTAGATCCACGACCTCAAATGTCACGGACCCTGATTTTACTCATACCTGAGGTGAACGGAGACTGCAAGTACGGTGAGGACAGCGACAACTTGGAAGATCATGGGACTGAGTAGGGTTGTAAGTACCTTAATTTGGGGTTGTAGGTGCGGTTGCCTTTGCCTTGTTTATAATCCTACTTACTAAGTCCCATGAACCTTTAAGTAGGAGTTACTCACAGTGTCCGCGTCGCCCGCGCCCCTTGGTTGAGGACGATACCTGAAGCCGTCGTATTACGCCCGCTAGAATTTGTGGTGTTCACCTCAATCGAGGGGTTGTGGGCTCTCTAGGTATCCTACAAGCCTAACTCTCATAACCCTTAGAGATCCCTTCAGCAGAAAGTCGGGCCTGCTGATATGAGTCTGACTGGCATGTGTCTAATATTTTTTTTAACGAGGCGTTTAGGCCTAACCCTAAACCCTAAGCCCTAAACCCCTATACCCTAAACCCTAAGCCCTAACCCGCAAGGGAAGGTTTCCTCACGGCGCGTCGTTGCAGGACTGCACCTACGCGCATGACCGGAGCGAGATTCGCCGCAACATCATGAAGAAGCAGAAGATGGAGGTGCCTCAAGAAGACATACGATTTAGTTGGGGTTGCGGCGGTCAATTTGATGTTCAGTACTTCTATACTACTAGTCCACAAGACGACTATACTGCTGTTTCCCTAAGCCCTAAGCCCGCAACCTAAATCCTAAACCCGAAGCCCGAAACCCTAAACCCTGAAGCCAAAAACCATGAACCCTAAAACCCTAAAACCGAAACCCAAAAACCGTACAGATCTCTTATAGATCCCCTTCAAGGAGCCCTTAAACGAACCCGAGAAGAGCCCATAAAACCGAAGCCTGCAGGAGGTTGGACTGCGACCGCCAGCCCCAACAGCCCCTCGCAGCGTGTCCGCGCCGGACGAGATGCTGACTTCTGCGCTTCGATCGATATCCCCCTGGGGCTCCTTTAAAAGGGATCTATAGGGGTTCCTTTAAGGGCTCCTTTTAAGGGATCTATAAAGGTTTTTAAAGGGGTCCTTTTAAAGGGATCTATAGGGGTTCCTTTAAGGGCTCCTTTTAAGGGATCTATAAGGGTTCCTATTAAGGGGGTCCTTTTAAAGGGATCTATAAGGGTTCCTATTAAGGGGCTCCTTTAAAGGGATCTATAAGGGTTCCTTTAAGGGGCTCCTTTAAACGGATCTAGAAGGGTTCCTATTAAGGGGATCTAGAAGGGATTTATGAGGGTTCTACTAAGGGGATATAGAAGGGTTCTATAGGGTTTAGGGTTTAGGGTTTTGTGAAATGCTGAACAGCCCATGGTAGTGGTGGGAAGGATCGTCATGATGATATGCTCATGCCGGGATTTCTGGGTGCGGTCGTAGTAGTAGTAGTAGCAGCAGCAGCAGCAGTAGTAGTAGTAGCAGCAGTAATAGTAGTAGCAGCAGTAGCAGGAGTAGTAGGAGTAGGAGTAGGAGTGGGAGTGGGAGTCGGAGTGGGAGTGGGAGCGGGAGCGGGAGCGGGAGTAGGAGGAGGGGTAGGAGTAGGGGAGTCGTCGTCGTCGCCGTCGTCGGAGCTGTAGTGGCAGTCGTAGTCGTCGTCGAAGTAGTCGTCCTCGGCGTTTTGCTCGTGGTCGTCGACCGTCCTCCTCGTCGTCCACGTCGTCGTCCCACGTGCAGGGTTTTCCGAGCATGTCTCTGGCTTTTTACATGTCCATGGGGTTCTGAGGCTCACTTCCAGGATTAGTTTATATGCAGCGAGTCTGGGATTCACAGTCCAGGACCGACCACGCAGACGCTAAGCCCTAAGCCCCTTAAAGCCTGAATCCTGAACCGCCTAAGCCCCCTAAGAACGCTGAATCCCCTAAATCCCTTAAGCCCTAACTACGCCCCCTTAACCCTGTAACCCCCAAACCCCCCTGACCTAAAGCCCCCGGAACCCTCTAAACCCTGAGCCCTTTGTCAGTGTTCCTGAGCCTTGCGGATGTAGGGTTTACCGTTCCTATCAGGGTTCCTTCAAGGGTTTGTGCAAGGATTCCTTTTAGGGTTTCGGGTGTGGGGAACAGGGTGTGGGATTTGGGGCTTTGCGGGTTTGGGGCTGCTGGCTTATTCGTTTAGGGTCGAAGATTCAAGCCGTGACCGTTAGCCCTGAACCTTAGGCCCGTTGTGAAACCCCAAGTGCCAGAACTCGACGCCGCAGCACCACTCGAAGCCTGTAATCCTCTGGGCTCAGCAACTAGCAGCCATGATTCGTTTGGTTTAGGATTCAGGGTTTAGGCTTGACGGAGTGTTGGGGGTTTAAGGGTTGGGGATCAAGGTGACCTGTGCTTGAGGTTGAGTGAGTATGCTAATCCCTGAAGTGTAAGGTGTGTTTCAGACGCCCGCCAAGGTCAATGATGTGGATCTTACCCCAGTCAGAAGCCATTCTGCCAACCATGCAAAGATCGCAGCGCGGCTTGTGTAGAGGACCTTTAACCCTAACCGAAGGGCTCTGTTGTAAATCCTCAGTTGACTAACTTCTAAAACGTCGACAGTCTAGCCCCACAAGCCCAAACTGTATGGAATGATGCTCGTGACTGCGGCAGTCGAACCTAAACCTTAAACTTAAACCCTAAACCCTAAACCCTTAACCCTAAACCCTAGACCCAACACCCAACACCACAACCATCCGAAGACTCAACCCTTCAAGCCAGAACCCTAAACCACCCAAACCTCTGCCCTGAACCCTAAAGCCATATGGGAGTTTCCGAAAATTGGGGACCCTAACATGGTAGCCTAAATAGTAGGATCCTGTATTATACGGACCCCCAAAATGAGGTACCCTTAATTTTCGGAAACTCCCACATGTTGAAGTCTTTCAGTCCCTAAACCCTAAACCCTAACCCCTAGCAGCCCGAACCTCTTAGGACAGAGCCCTGCGCAACGGTACACAGCTCGGAGTGCTAGGGCTGCTAGGGGTTAGGATTCCGATGGTGAATGATACGGGGTACTTAGGGTTTAGGGTTTAGGGGTTTAGGGGTTCAGGGTTTAGGCTTCCGGTACTAAATTATACGGGCTCCTTCAAGCATTTCTTTAAGTTGTCTACAAAGGTTCTAAACTGGTACTACAGGTTTTGGGGTTGTAGGTTGAGGGTTTCAGAGTTTCGGGGCTTACGCCTCGCTTGAGTGTGTTTAGTCGGCTTCGGTCACACAGCTGCCGAAATACACCTAGCCGAACCCCCATCAGAACATGTAGGCAGGGTCGGGGACTCACGGATCAAGGTTGCCGATGAATCCCGCTTGGTTTAGGGTTTAGGGCCTTAACTTATGAACTTATCGGGATGGCGACCTGGTTGCGGACTGGGATCAGGAGCTAGGAATTTCAAAGGCGACAAGAAAACACTCTTACCCGACTCTCTCAAGCCCCGAGCGGTTTAGGGTTCAGGGTTCAGGGTTCAGGGTTGAGGGTTTAGCTAAAACCCCCCGCACCGCGAAGGCCCTAAACCCTAAACCCTAAACCCTAAACCCTAAACCCTAAACCCTAAACCCTAAACCCTAAAGCATTCGAGGTCGATGACTGGGACCTGTCGCTTCCCATTCCAGCCCGAAGCGAGAGCTCAAACTCTCAAGCGTCCACCGCAGCCTGGCCTGATGCTTGGGTAGTTTAGGGTCTGGTTTAGGGTTTAGGGTTTAGGGTTTAGGGTTTAGGGTTTAGGTCCTGTTTATAAGGGTGCCGGACTAGGCTTGGGACCTAAAAGGGACCCTGAGTTAGAGAGCTCTGTGCCATTTGGCTGCTTTTTGATTCTTCCTGAGCCCCAAACCCAAAAGCTCAAGTTATGCTAGGATGCCCAGTAGTACCCTTATTCCCTTTTTGTAGTCCTAGGTTCCTTATCAAGTTACCCAATACCAAAAAGAGAGGCCTTTGTATTCTTAGGTTACTGGGTATCCTACGGTTGATGATATAAATCCTGCATTACCCATAATAAGGAATATACCATAATTCCCATAGTTTTGGGCCCTTAAGGTCATGCAGGATTTATATCATCAACAGTAGTATGTAGTTGTGCGAATATTTCTTAAGAGCCTTTCGGGTCTGCAAGAGAGGCTTTAGCACTATGGGCGCCTCAAGAACTAAGAAGACTGATGTGTGTTCCCTCTGCAAGCTGCTTAGGAGAGTATACCTAGGTTTAGGGTTGAGGGTCACGGTTTAGGGTTTAGGGTTCAGGGTTTAGGGCGCCCTCTTGGCATGATTGTCGAGGTCTCTGAATTGGGGTTTCTGCACGGTGTTTGAAGTGCTTGTTGTGTTGAGTGAACCCTGAACCCTAAACCCCAAACCCAAAACCCTAAACATCCTAATCCCCCAAAATAGTACCCTTCTAACTAGAACCGTTGTGAACCCCTTAAAGGAACCCAAAGGCACCGTCATCCGAGCCCTAACCCTCAAAGGTTTGCTTTTCAAACACCAGGGTGTGTGAGGTTCGGCGTTTGGGATCAGGATAGTTCAGGATTCTGGTGGGTTTGTTCAACGAGCCGACCCTGATTTGTCTCAACATAGACTCAGGTTGTCAGATAAATGCATGAAGGCTGGAGGGTACATGCGTGAATGCAAACACACCTACGATGTTAATTCGAGCTTTGAGAAGTGTAGTAGTCGTAAGTGTAATCACAGCAATGTTGTTGGTGATAGTAGGCCTAACGACGAAGCCGTAAAGCCTATTGGCAAAGCCCAAAGTTCCAATCACAGGTATGTCCGCCCAACATGACAAGTCCTTGCTCAGTGGAGGACATTGAGGCGGAAACCGTAAACCCTAAACCCGATGAGGCTTCCCAAAGTGAGCATTGCGTTTCTATGTTTTGAGATTCCTCAAGTGCTTTATCGTTTCGGGTAGATGCCTGATGCCATTGGTTGCTGGTTTTGATTTCGATGTTCGTCCCGTTGGCTCACTGATGTCGATGATGAGTGATTATATGAGGTTCATGATCATGGTTTTGGCGATGGTGGCTGCCGCACGCGTGATGTTGGTGACGCCGAAGCATGCAGCAACCGCGCCAACAACAACGACGGTTGTGGTGATGATGGCGCCAGGATAATGTTAGGTACGGCCCCCACTCAGTAATAGTTGAATAATATTCATAATACAGATATATTAGGACCTTAATAGTAGCCCTATTATAGACTCTTACTGTATGGGGGCAGTACCTAAAGTATAACGATGACATGGTCTTTGCTTGTATTCGTGCCCCTGCCAGAGTGGGAGTGCTGAGGGTTGTGGGGAAGGGAGGTCCCTTTGGGGTGGGGGTTGGGAGGGAAACATTGGCCCACTTTTCGGTCCTTATTGTAAGTTGTCAAAAGTGGAACAAATTGAATGTACAGAGTTACAGATATCGCGTCCAGAGAAAGCGGGTCCGGGGGCCTTTAGAATAGCGATCCTATCATGGGGGCTCTATATTGCGGACCCGTGCTCAGAACCTCATCTAGCATCTGGGGGGTTGGGCTGGGGTTTAGGGTTTAGGGTGCCAGGTTCACGACATTGGCTGGGTTCGTCTATGTTCGGGAAGGTCTCAACTGGTAAAGATAGAGATTTCTCAATCTGTTTAGGTGCCTGGCTATGGCATAGGGTGTGAGGGACCCGGACCCATAAACCTAATCTGAACCTTCGACCCAATGTCTTTGAGAATACTGTTTAGGAATGCTCAGGGTTAAGGCTGCAGCAGGCTTTATGGGGAAAGGGGGGGGGGTAGGGGACCATACTTCCTTATATAGACCGTACTAAGTCCTTTTGATAGGTATTAAGGCTCCTGACCCCCCTCCCCCCTGCCCCTCTTTAAGGGTCCTTATCAGGCTTGTAGTTCTGGTATACCGAGCTTCGCAAGCTGGCTTTGCGTCCGGCGACGGCGAACACAGGGATTTTGAGCTTGCCAGAAAACCAAAGCCAGGAAACTTATCTGCACATATGCCTAGATGGCAAGAATGCAGTTTGCGCTTTGGGTTGCAGCGCTGAGAGGTTAGAGTTGCTCTGGCATTCCCGAACAGATCAGCACTAGCAGTGCAAAACGTCAGCGACTGTGCAAGTGCACGAGCGACTCCAAGAACAGCCATCGTTGCGACACAAGCATGGTACTACATACTCGTTACTGGCTGTGATGTTTCGAACTCTGTGCATGTAGTGTTTTTTTTGCTTCGCGCGGTTCGTGCACATCTTGACTTGCCATTCGCACGTGTCTTTACTGGTGTTCCACGGTTCCTCAGGAACAAGTCAATAGCACGTAACCCTTACACTTCAGCAAGCTTTAAACCTTCACGATGCAACACCAAAAGCCCTGAAGCCCTGAACCCTAAACCTTAAACCCTAAACCCTGAACCCTAAACCCTGCGACCCCTTTCGACTGCAGGCCCCATGGAGCCGGACCGTCACATGGGCATCTTCGTACAACGCTGCGGATTCGGAGACTTGGCTGTTAGGGGACAAAGAAAGGCACAGAAGCATAAGCATTTTATGGGGATATCACTACCTTAATCGGCTTCATTAAAAGGGTGTCTAGATGGGATATCCCTATCTTAATTTTTGCTTATGTGCTTTTTCGGGGCCCTAAACTGTCGGTTGAGTGTTTATAAGGGCATCAAGTGACTAGGCTCATGGGAAATTCGCAAGTCCAGTCATAAGCACCTAAACTGGGGTCATGCGTACTTAGAGGTAGAGTCTACAGTTGCTTACCTGGTTTATATCCCTATACTAGGAAGCCCAGTAGTACCCTTAATCCCTTTTTGTAGTAGCAGGTTCCTTATAAAGTTACCCAATACCAAAAAGAGAGGCCTTTTTATTCTTAGGTTACTGGGTATCCTAGTGGAATATACCTTAAACTATAAGGGGCTTCATATTATGATTCAAGCTATATTCCTTAATTAAGGGATACTGGGTTAGCTACTAAGTCGCATGATTTTCTAAGCCCAAAAAACCCCTGTAGATCCACTCTAGAACCCTTAAGAGGAGCTTCTTCTGGGATCCTTTAAGCGATTCCTTTAAAGGGATCTATAGGGGCTCCTTTAAAGGGATCTACAGGGTTCCTTTAAAGGGACGGTTTAGGGTTTAGGGGTAAGCTCAGATAGTGAATGGGGGAACTTTAAACTTTCTGGCCTTACATATTAGCTCTATCTGAAAAAGTTTGAACTTTTTGGGGCTGGGTTGTTGAAGAAGAGAGTAAGTGAGGAAGCCCCATGCTCCTGTAAGTCTGTAGCCTCATCCTGGTTGAGGTCTTTTGTTGCCAGACTCCTCCGGTTTAGGGTTTAGGGTGGGTCTGAGAGGTTGAGTTGCAGTGGTCGTTAGGTTTCTGCTGGTGGCCCCCGATTTCCCCAAGCTCCCACATGATCATCGAAAGGGTTTGGAGGTTGTTCCCCACAACTTTCAAAACTGGATTCCAATGCTTTGGGCCCTCAAAACCAGGTCCATGCACACGAAACCTCCCCAAATCGTGCACCCTAAACCCTAAACAAGACTTAAAACCCTGAACCCTAAAGACTCAAGACCTGAACCAAGCCCCCGAAGATCCCCCAAAATAGTATTGGTAATTTCTTGCAGCTCATTTATTGCAGAACCTTTTTATCGACCCCTTATAAAACCTTTTAAAGGGACCCATACACTTAAAAAGCACTCGCTACCGGCCCATACTGGCCCTTAACCCTGCGCAAAAACCCTTTTAACACATAAAGCGGTTTGAAGGGTCTAGGGTTTAGGGTTTGAGGTTTGGGGTTTGGGGTTTAGGGTTTGAGGTTTGGGGTTTAGGGTTCGAGGTTTGGGGTTGAGGGTTTAGGGTTTCGGGTAACGGAAGTTCCCATGTCCAAGACCCGAAAATTCAATCCTACGCCCTCGCGCTTCCCCAGCAGAAGGTGTCCGACTTCGAGGAGCAGGACAGAGATATGACCCTAAACCCTATAAACGCCTAAACCCTAAACCATTCCTTTCAGGAGCGATAACTGAACCGTTACTGTAAGGGTTCCTTTAAGTCTATCCTTTCAGTGTACCTTTAAGGATTTCTATAGTGCTCTAACGTGTTCTATAGTTGGTTTAGGGTTTTGGGTTTTTGTTTGGGTTCAGGGCTTTGGGTTGGGGGAGTCCCTCCAGAGTTCAGGGTTTAGGATTCAAGGTGAAGTGTTTAGGTTTCCGTTCGTGCAGGTTTAGTTGAGGCGTAGGTGCGGGGTGAAGGCTTCGAGGCAGGCAAGAGTTTGAGTTAGAATAGGGTTTTGGGAAATATTTTCTACATATAATTATACCAAGGAACCTTAAGAATAGTATAGGTAGTTCTTTAGGCCCCTACTCTAAAGTCTGAGGCTACGTCTCTGAGGTGCAATGTAGCAGCCAAAGGAGGATCCATGCACTGCTCAGTGTGACCGACCGTGTGGCCCGTAAGATCTTAAAGCCTGAACCCGCCGCAAACCTGCCGCAAACCCTTAAACCCGGCCCAATCCGAATTCTCCATAGCCCGAAAGAGCCCCAAACCCTAAACCTTTCTCGGTTCCGGGTTCGGGCCCCCCCAGGGCACTGGGTTAATCCCCAAAGCCCTTGTAAAATCCTTCTAAGATCCCGTAGAACTCCTTACCAACCGATTCCCGAGCAGTGCGGACCATACTGCAAATATGCGCGCACCCCCATGCGCACCCGGCTCCTCCGCACTCCCTCCGCATGCACCCGCCGCACACCGAAAACCAGCAACAAGGGGGTTTTCATGTATTGGGAGAGCCTTTCAGAGATGCGACTTCCCCCTATGTACTGGCGGCATTCAGGACTACGTCCTACATGCTTTCTCCTTTTTGCTGGCAGGGTTCAGAGTTCAGACGTTTCGAGGGCGATCGTGTTCAGATAGTGGGACATAGGCACAGACCATGCACCACGCCACGCGGAATTTTCTGGATGCGCCTCGTGGCCCCACCATCCAAAGGTCTTTGCACCTGACCTAACGTAAGAACCCCAATACCGCTGACCATCCTTTTTAGGGGCACAGAACCCTTGAGACAATCTACGAAAAGTAATGTGCAGGCGTTTATAGTTAGAATAGTATTCCTTAGGGTTCCTTAATATAATCATGCCATAGTTTACCCTAACACTCAGTGCTGATTATGACGGCCCCTGTATTGAACTTTTATATTAAATTTCCTTCAGAGAACCTTTGAAACGGTAGAACTCGAAGCATATACCAGATCATAGCTTACAGTCCCAAACCCTAAACCCTTAAACCCTAAAGCCCTAAACGTGCTCATCGGCAGACTATGTGACAGCCCTAGCATAGGCGTCGGACTAGTGATTAGTAGCAGTATTCCCTTGTCCTCCCCATGTATTGATAGTATAATGAGCCCCAAAACCCTGTTCTAATCATTATGTTGTACAGGCCCCTACTTGGAAGGGCAGGGGACTTACTAAGTAGGTTATAAGCAGAGTTATAAGTACCCTAAATGGAGTTACCCCAATTCTAACCCTACTTATAACCTACTTACTAAGTCCCCTGCCCTTCCAAGTAGCCTACGTTTCCTGACAAGGATCTTCCGTGCCTGGGAGTTCTGGTTGGCCGGAGCGCCACATGGGCCGACATCAGCGTGGAGGCTGAAGACACTTTGATAAGGGTATTAGGGTTTAAGGATTTTGGAGTTTAGGGTGACGGAGGGGACTGAGAATAGCAGTGTTCACGGTTTTGGGGGTATTCCCCTGAATTTAAGTTGCAAGCGCGCCAAACCTCGTCGAATTAGCTTTGGAGTTTGACCGAGGTTCTGCAAATCAGAGTGCATTTTACTCTAACCTGATTTACTTGAGAACGTCCATGGAATTCAGGTAACCATACTTATAACTGGTTATAACCCAATTGAGGTATTGAAAACTGTAATTACTAAGTCCCATGAACCTCCAAGTACTTGCACAGCCCCAAGGTGCTGTCAGCATGGTGTAGAGTTTAGAGAAGCTCTGCGTGCTTAGCAGCTTGGATTCCAAGGCGCGAAGTGTGTTTCAACCCCCAAAGCTACCCTAAACCTTATTCCCGAAGCCATATATGTCAAATCCTAATCTTTAGAGCCCAAAATTCTCGAACCCAGGACGCTCAACCTTAACGCCTTGAAGCCCAACGCTCAAACTTAGGCGAAGCCTCAAACCTGACATCAAGAGCTTCAAAGTCGGATGTGTGAGAAGAAGAACATCAGACAGATTCCCCACCAACGATGCTGAACCCCCCAATCATTTCAAACCCTCATGACGACTCACTCAGACTCATATGAGAACGCATATAATCACTGACTTGTCACCCCTAGGGAAATCGAAAACAGACCCTGTAAAGGCCTATAACCCTAAACCCTAAACCCTAAACCCTTGACCCCACTCCCCCTAAAGCCTAACAACACCCAAGGATCACCCTGCGCCTGTCGGACGAAGCGCAACCTGGGCACATGGCAGCACAAGCACGCGGCCCGAAGATACGGCTGCTCGGCTCCGCGTAAAGTTTCTGATGATTTGGGTAGGGTTTATAGTAGAAGCCAGAAAGTTGGAACATGGCTTTAGGAGGATTAGTGCTAGAATCCCTTATACTTTACCTTAAGGGCATGAGGAGTCTGATGTTCCAACTTTCTGGCTTCTACTATAGGTCTTTGCTGCTTGGCCTGAAGGTTTAGGGTTTAATGTAGGGACCTGATTAGGAAATCCTGGCCCTAGAGCCCCATTATATTGGGATTCATGTAAGGAACCCTAATAACGACCCAAGGTTTCTTAATCAGGTTCCTACATGATAGAACCCCTTATAGTACCCTGTACATTTATAGATCCCTTATAGCAATCCGAATAGAGGATCCCTACACCCCTCTAGAGCCCTTTACATATCTTTACATCAGGTTCCTACATTAGGGTTTTAGGGTCTTGCAGGATTTTAAGGTTTTTTGGCCCATGGTTCAGGTTTTCATTTTCAGGGCTTGGGGGGTTCGAGTTCAGATGGGTGTCGCACTGGGGGTTGAGGATTTGGGATTTAGGGTTTAGGGTTGAGGGTTTAGGGTTTAGGGTTTAGGGTTGAGGGTTTAGGGTTGCAGCGTGACAAGGTCTAAAGGCTGAGGTCACTGCAATTGTGCAGTGCAGCCGTACTTAGAGGTTCATGGGGCTTAGTAACTACGGGTATAATTAAGGTAACTATGCTTATAACTAGTTATAGCCCCGTTTGAGGTACTTATAACTGTAGTTACTAAGTCCCATGAACCTCCAAGTAGCCGCCAATAGACGGATTCTTGCACTTCTTCAGCGTGGAGCAATGCTTTCAGGACAATTTTTACTGCCGTAAGGTTGTACACCCTAAACCCTAAACCCTAAACCCTAAACCCTAAACCGTTGTACACCTGTTTAGCCGCTAAATTCCCAACCCACGCCGAAGCCTCCATCCCAAGACCCCGGATAGTTCTAAAGAGTCGCAGTGCTAAGTTGAACCCAACACCCTAAACTCCAAGCTAAACCCTAAGCCCCTAAACCCCAAAATCCCCAAACCCCAAAAACCCTAAACCCCTAAATCCTAAACCCAAAACCCCTAAACCCCAAACCCCTAAACCCCTAAACCCCGAACTGTCGAGAGTGCCCCTGACCATTTGGCCCCTCGGCTCGGACGGAGGCCGCCGGCCGAGCGTCTCGTCAGAAAAGCGAGGGTTAGGGTTTAGGGTTTAGGGCGTCTCGCCGCGCAGCGGCAGTATTTTCTATGTAGGATGGCGCCCCAACACTCCCAAGGGGTGTGGGGGGGCGGGGGGTGGCATATCTACGTGTAGCATGTGAATCCACCACCAAACAATTACAAATTGGTTTCTGTTTCTTTTCCCACCTGCTGTGAGCTTACACAGGCTACCACCCAAAATATTACCTTGGAGGGTTTAGGGCTTACGCCCGCAATTCCCCTCTGCCCTGGTCTGCTGTTGAAAGGTCAGGGCCCTTGGGCGGCCTGGGGGGGCCAGGGGGAATCCCCCAGCTGCGGGGCCTCTGGGTGGGGGCCTCTGGCCGTGTTTGTGAGGGGGCTTTCGGCGTTTGGTTTGAGGTATTTTCTTCTCTTGAAATTCGAAGGAATTCTTTGTGGGAAGAAGGGCGCCACGCAAGGGGCCCAATGGCATGGCTCAGCCCCGGGCTGAATTTGACCATTCTCCGATATCTCCACCCATTCTCCATATCAAAGAATGGTGTCAATCACCGCCGCATGTCCTTCTAGGTCCAGGCACCCTAAGAAAAAGGGTGGGTGCGGCCTAAGCAGGACTGGGTGGGAATTTAGGGGTGAGGGAGGGTAAAGCTTCCCGGTACACGAGGACTGTGTGACGCCGCCCCTAATGACATCTGTGTTGTCAGGCAGTAAAGAAGGACCCCGCCCACTTGGGGTCCCAGGGGCACGTCCTGGGGCCTCCTGCGCCGCTCCGAGCGGGCGACCTGCCCAATCCCGAAACCCAAAACCCTGGCCCCAAGCTGGCAGATTCCAGCGATCCGGTCCCGCATGGTTCCGGCCGGTCCGAATCGAATCTACCCTAAATTAGAGTAGAATCCCTAATATGATTTGAGGGTTCTTTCTGGATGAAGGGACATTGGAGTTTCTGGGTATGTCAACTTTGCCACATCGCCTTCCAAGCGCGGTTTCGGAGCCTTTCCCAAGGCTGCTGCGGGGCTTTCTACCGGGGTCCGCATTTATCGAGCAACCCTCAAAGGGTGCGAGGGGCAAGTTGTTTGTTGGAAACCCTTGCTTTTCGTCGAGGTATGGATTTGGGATAAATTGAATTTCCTTAACTTATTGTTGAGTATGGAGCCACAGTTATAAATATGTTTTGGGGGACTGTTGAAATCGACAACCATCTTAGGTTCCTCAATATAACTTAAGCATAGTATGCTTCCCAACCCCGCCCCCATGGCTGAGATCCCGTTAAGCCTTAAGCCCGAAACCGTTACAGAGACGCATTCTAGCCCGCCTCAGGCAACCCTATTCCACCTCTGCAGGTCCCTTTACGAAATCTGTACTTGTAACCCTCAACCCCGGGCCGGATCAGGAGCCCCCTTGCCTGGGAGTGCATGTGGGCCGGAGAGCAAGATGGGCCGACATCAGCATGGAGGCTGAAGACTCTTCGCGAAGGGATTGAAGGCTTAGGTGCTTTAGTATTCGGGCGTTTGGGCTTAAGGCTCCGGGGCTTTAGGGCTTAGGGTTAAGAAAGCGAGGGAAAGCAAAGGTGATCGACGGGACCGAGCCAACTATAGGGTTCAAGGTTTCTGGTGTTTACTTCAAGGGAGTGTGGCTTAAGGTTTTGGAACTCAAGATTGCGGTTCTGCAGATCAGGGGGTTGCAGCCTGACCAATTACTTGCCATGGGTGTTGGATACCCGGGTGAGGATACTGTAGTTCTATACAGCTGTACTTGCAAAGTCCCGTGATGCCAGACGCATCGAACCCTTAAGCTTTAAACCTTGGTCCCTAAGCATCTACTCTCAAGCCCGAGTTCCCAGAGCCAGAAACCCGAACCCCCCAAACCTGCAGCCCTGCAGCTTCAAACCTGAACCCAAAAGCTCAAGCACCTATCAGGAGGTAATATACGGGCCCAAATAATTACCAATACTATTCTGGGGGCTCCTTGTTACAATTATAGTATAATGGGCCCCAACCCCCTATTCTATTTTTGAAGGCCCTCATATTACCTGAGAGAGAGTCTCCACCGATGACCCCGCAAACCTTATCAAACTCGTATCAAAAACTCGATCAAGCCTCTTAATAGACGCGTGAATCCTAAGTCCTTAGCCTTTAAACTCCAAACTCCAACCCCTAAGCCCAATAACACCCAAGGATCACCCTGAGCCTGCTGGACGAAGCGCAACCTGGGGACATGGCAGCGCAGTGTTCGAATCCATGGCCGCTCTGCATGTTCAGGGTTTAGGGTTTAGGGGTTAGGGTTATTTCTCCTTTACAAGCTCGTTTAAAGGGGCTACGGTAAGGGCTATTACAGGGTTTAGGGTTTAGGGTTATTTCTTATAAAAGTTCCTTTAAAGCGGCTACTATAAGAGTTATTATAGGGTTTAGGGTTTAGGGTTATTTCTTTTACGAGTTCCTTTAAAGGGCTACTACAGGGGCTATTGTAAGGGTCAGGTATAGGGGCCTTAGCAGTGGAAACAGGATTTTCTGGTCCCATTCTACGATGGTCATATCAACGAACCCTAAACCTTAAGCCCTAAACCCTAAACCTCAGGTAAGTTTCTGAGACCCATGAGAAGCCTGAGACGAGCTTGAAGGGGTTCGGCTTCAGGAACGAATTAGGAGCTTCATTTTCGATTTAGGGTTTAGAGTTCCGGTTCGGATTAGGAGTTGGGATTGGGGCTTTCGGGCTGAGGAGTTAGCACCTGTTTGTTTTCTTGGACCCTGAAGCCCTAAACTCTAAACTCTCGCGTCCAGACCCAGGGGCTTGAGCTCTAAGGTACAGAGTTCAGGTTTTAGACCCCGAGGGACATGTCATCGCGGTCTTGGGCTTCGGGACTAGGCTCTGACTTGCAATGTGCAAAGGTCCCTCGACACGCGTCGTATCAATTGGCCTGTCGTCAGCTCTTCTGGTACGGCCGGGTGTAGGAGTACCTCCCGGTGCAGACCGAAGATGCCATGGCGGTGTTGTTCTACCCGGACCAGAAGAAAGTCGGCCGCGCACCCAAGCAGGCTTATTAATTTAACACCTCGCGCGGGCCGCAGGGAGTCACATCTACTCAGGCCGGTTCACTGAAGCTGGGCAGTTGCGAACCTCCCCCCGACCGACGACGAGTCCGAACCCAAACAGAAGCGGCCGAACCATTCGGCGCCTTTTGCATCTCACATACTTTTGAGGTCGGCGGCCGCAGCGGCCGCCTGCCCGTGAGCACCACACAGCCAGCCGCTGGCGGAAAGGGGCTTCGAAGGGCTGTCATGTGAAATTATGAATATTCACGTTAAAGCAGACGCTCTGCCGCACATGTGTGTGTGTGTGTACTGACCGCGTCGACTGGCTTCTTCAAGTGTCATAGTCAGCAATCCCTCATTCGCAATGCCCCGCCGTTCTCCGCTGTATCCTGCGTCTCACCCACAGAGTCGTGAAGCACGCAGCAAGAGATGTCTACTCGTGATGTCCGCAGGTCTCCATGGGATTCAATCGTCGTAAGATCTAGATGACAGACGAAGAAGCCGCAGCATCATAGCGACAGAGCCACGGGTGCTTTGAACTTGTGTAACTTGCTCTAACGAGGCTCGGAGCGCTACGTCCAATGGATCCGCGACCACTTGGAAGAACACGACGCGCAGAACGACATGGTCATTCTTCACCTCAAGGCCCCATCAGGATTATCCCTTTATTTCAAGCTGCTAAGTGCAAGCAGTGGATGCGGCCAGGCCTTGACGGAAGCTCGAGGCGCCAAGCTGCGAGCGCTCTTCCGGAAGAGGTTGCGGTGCCTTGCCGGCATATGTTCGTTGTGTCACACGGTGTGAATCGACTCACGTGCCCAGGGTCTGGATGGTCAGACTGCGGGAAGCGGACGAAGAAACACTCGGTCGTCGGAACGGACAGTTTCGGGCTGAGGCTAGGTGGCTCGCAGTACCAGCGTTGGAGCAGCACACGCCCAACCACCGGCGATGAGTCGGACCCTGAGTAGTAGTTCAGGAAGCCGAACACGCTCAACGGTCCGGCGTAAATTACCGGCATGGCAGGCTCTTGCGCAGCCGGCGACCAGCCGAGTCGAGAGCGATCACGTGCCAAGAAAAGGCAAAAGCTGTGGTACCGCGCACAGCTGTTCTTCTGAGGGGCACAGGAAACGTGACTTTCGCATGAAGCTTTTGCGATCAAGACTTGCTATCAAGACTTGCCTATACTCCTATACTCTACTCGGCCCGCCCCTTCCGTGGCGCATTCAGTCGCTTCTCGCAGATCGTCCTGACAGTTTCGTCCTCGCATCCAATCGCCCTGCAGTCTGTCCTGCCTCGGGTGGCGACGCGAATGTTGGTGGAATTGTATGTGCATCTTTCCGAAGTCTCAACGAGCCCATACTTCGCGATGTTAACAGCGGTTTGCCCCCATCCGCTGCCGGAGGTGTTGCAGGAGGCGCGCTCCTGGGCGGAAGGCCCCCTGTTTTGGCCAACCGGAGCGCCCTGCAGTACAGTTTGGAGTACAATCCGTTTCGAAGCCGACAGCTTGCGATCCGAGGTACGCCAGCACTTGAAGCCTGCGCGTAGTAGCTCGTGCTGTGGTCCGTGACGGTCGATTTGCGCAGGAGCTCTACCGTCATCTCCGGAACGAGCCTCTGGAGGACGCCGGCTATAACGGCCCGGGTAGCGGGCTGCGTGATCCGATCACAACTCCGAGGTGCGACTGGCAAAAGTCGAAGAACGCGAAGAAGAGGCACTGGCCATAGGCGAGGACTTGTCATATTCCATCGCACCGAGCCGATGGGCCTGCGCGTGCAAGTTGCATCCATGGGCGGGTATGGCGCAGAGCGGCAAGCTACGATGCTTGCCGCATCGCTAAAGGCGCCGCACATGCCACTCTGCCATGCCTGCCACGGGGATCGTACTAGTCTCGGCTGTCATCGAAAGAGACGGGGACTGGACCAACATGCACCACTGCATTGAGAAGTCTCTTCGCGCAGCGGAAGACATCGCATTAGTTCCCCTCCTTCCCTAAGCCCCAAAGCTAAACCCTCTTCCCAAAGCCGAGAGCATGATTGAGCCACAAGCTTCAACTTCTTTAGTCCTAACCCCCTAACGGCTAAAGGCAAGGCCCTCCCAAAGCTCCAAAACCTGAACTCTGAACCTTACACCCTATACCCAAAACCCTAAAGCCTAAACCCTCTAATGTAGGAAGACCTTGCGACTGGTTGGTGGCTCGACCAACGCCCAAGCCAGGAGAATCCGTTGCCCGTTGACCCGGTCGCGTTTGCGACCACCAGCCTGAAGGCTGAAGACTCGGCTGCTCAATTGCAGCTTCGGGGTTTGGGGGTTTGGGGTTTAGGGTTTGGGGTTGTCGGGCTAAGGGTTTGGGGTTTAAGGGCTCTAGTGCGCACATGTTTACACACGTAGACAACCATGTATGTGTGCATGCATGTGCATAGCGATGCATGGATGCACACATGCATGTGTACCGGCATATTTTTTTATGTATCTGTGTGTATGCATGTACGCATGCATGCATGTATTTGGCATGCATGTACGTAGGTATGCATGTATATGCTGCATTAGTATGTGTACATGTTTTAGGTAAGCGTATATGTACATGATTGCACATGTGTAGGTGCTGGTACATGTGTATAAACGTATATGTATATGTAGATGCGTATGTATATTCTTATGTTCATATATATGCATATGTATGTGTACACGTATATGCATGTGTACATACCTATGTATGTATGTACGTATGTATGAATATGTGTGTGTGTGTGTGTGTATGTGTATGTGTGTGTGTGTGTCTGTGTGTCTGTGTGTCTATCTGTGAGTGTGTGTGTCTGTCTGGGTGTCTGTGTGTGTGTGTGTGCGTGTCTGGGTGTCTGCGTGTCTGTGTGTCTGTGTGTCTGTGTGTCTGTATGCCTGTGTGTCTGTGTGTCTGTGTGTCTGTGTGTCTGTGTGTCTGTGTGTCTGTGTGTCTGTGTGTCTTTGTGTCTGTATGTCTGTGTGTCTGTGTGTCTGTGTGTCTGTGTGTTTGTGTGTCCATGTGTCCGTGTGTCTGGGTGTCTGTGTGTCTGTGTGTCTGTGTGGATCTGGGTTACAACTTGTCTAGACCATAGCTGTTTTGTTTCATAACCGTGCTTAACCCCAAACTTTAAACCCTAAACCTCGAGCCTCAAAGCCCAAACCATACGCCCTATAGATCTTTATAGAGCCTTTAAAGGCGCCCTTGTAGAAAATTTCATAGAACGTGTATAAGGAGCCATCTGAGCAGACCTCATTGCCCAGAGACTCCCATATCCCTTTATTGAGGAATACATCAATAAACATATAAAGGATTCTACTATAATTTATATAAGGTAGATTCCTTAATAAAAGGATCCCGTCATAATTTAAGGTAGATTGCCTAATTAAGGGGTATTGGAGTCTCTGGGTTCACTGTTACTGCAGGCATCCAACGACGACGAGATCCTCGATGTTTTCGTGCCGCGGCCACCAGCTAACCGGATCAGGGTGCAGGTCCAAATCCCCTGACCGTTTAAGGTTTACAGTTAGGGGTTTAGGGTTTAGCATTTAAAGTTTAGAAAACGCCTCCCTAAACCCCTCAGGTTTGGGGTTTAGGTTTAGCAAGAGACGTAAGTTTCCTGAGCCCGGCTCTGAGGCCCCACACTTTAAGCTTAAACCCCAAACTCCCATCTACCTCAACTCCGAACCATTAAGCTTTCCTTGAATATTGAACGTTCAGCGTAGACTCAACAATCGGCTTTCCCTGCAAGCCGTTGAGCGGTTGCGCGGATACAATTTGTATTTCGTTTATGTTGCTCTGGCGACCAGCTAGAGCCGCTGTACGATGCAGCGGTTCCAGACAAGCACAGCGCAACTGCAACGACAAAGACAAAGAACTACAAGAGCGTAACAGCGTCATACCCCCTAATCCCTGAACCACCTGCTCCAGGGTAGCAGCTGGTTCAGACACCGCAGGTTCTGAACAGCATGTGGGGTCTATGGTTTGCATCTTATGTGTGCTGGAGCATATGATGTAGAATGTATTTTAACTGAATGGACGCAGTGTGTTTCCCTAGACATTCAGGTGTTCCTGCAATCAGCTTCCTGCAACTCCTAGGAAGTATTACCTTAACCCCACGTAACCTACCTTTTTAAGGACTTATATAAAAAAATCATATTAGGGAACCCTAGAACGGTAGGTTCCTTAGGGTCCAGGTAGGGAGACGCCGTAAAGGGGACCCTACTCCTGGCTCTTTGAGACGGGACGTGTTTGAGAGGGTCTATATCCCCAAGGGTCCCCTTAATCCTAACTCCAAATGGATGGTTGTCAAAATTATGGTCCCTTTTTGGGTCCTTATTATATCACGGCACCTAATATTTAGGGTACCCAAAAAAGGGACCCTAATTTTGACAACTATCCCATTAAAGCATAAAACACGAGCTTTACACCTCCTTCAAGAGCTCGTGGGCATCTTTTCTAAGCGTTGAGCCCTCAGGAAAGATCCTTCTTACAGGGAGCCCCATGATATTAATACTAATACTAATACTAACACTGATACTAATACTAATACTAATACTAATACTAATACTAATACTAATACTAATACTAATACTAATACTAATATTAATACTAATATTAATATTAATACTAATACTAATACTAATACTAATACTAATACTAATACTAATACTAATACTAGTTCTAATACTAATGCTAATACTAATACTAATACTAATACTAATACTAATACTAATACTAATACTAATACTAATACTAATACTAATATTAATATTAATACTAATACTAATACTAATACTAATATTAATTCTAATACTAATGCTAATACTAATACTAATACTAATACTAATACTAATAATAATACTAATATTAATACTAATACTAATACTAATACTGATACTAATACTAATACTAACTACTAATATAATACTAATATTAATACTAATAATTATTAATACTAATACTATACTAATATTAAAAAAAAAATTCTAGTATACTCTAATACCAATACTAATACTAATACCTAATACTAATAATACTAATACTAATACTAATACTAATACTAATACTAATACTAAATACTAATATTAATACTAAATACTAATACTAATACTATTAATACTTATACTATTACTAATACTAATACTAATACTAATACTAATACTAATAATACTAATATTAATACTAATACCAATATCAATATTAATACTAATACTAATAGTAATATTAATACTAATACTAATACTAATACTAATACTAATACTAATACTAATACTAATACTAATACTAATACTAATACGAATACTAATACTAATACTAATATTAATACTAATACTAATATTAAAATACTAACATTAATATTAATACTAATATTAATACTAATACTAATACTAATACTAATATTAATACTAATACTAATACTAATACTAATAATAATACTAATACTAATACTAATACTAGTACTAATACTAATACTAATACTAATGCTAATACTAATACTAATACTTGTATGAATATTCCTTGTAGGGTCCTGGAACCTTCAATTTCTGAGCCAGTTTGGCTCAGTGGGCAAGACTATGCCCTTCAGATCCCGAGGTCCCTGGTTCGAACCCCGGTCCTGACATGAAGCTGTTCTGTGCTTGGCTTGCATGTGCTTGAATTGCTGAATCACCTGCAGCTCTCTGGCTCCCAGCTACTCCAGCTAGTTTCCTTCCCCACTCACCATGGCTCAGGAGTCGATGGCCATGAGGGACTGGAAGGTGGAGGGGGGCCCGACGATGGGTGAGTGGAGGAGGCAGGACTTCTCGTCGGAAGTGAGTGGGAGGGAGTACCAATCAGATTGGTCACCGTTCAGACTTGATGGCACCCCCTGGAGAACTACCCACTCAGGTGTATACCTGAAGCTCACAGGAGGGAATGAGCAGCTAGCCTTCCATAGGCAGCTGCTGCAGGACCTGCTGGGGAGAGGCTTGCCAGCAGACCATCATGTACACCACTCAGATGGTGACCCCAGGAATAACAGGGCTGCTAACCTGGAGGCAATGACCCGAGCCCAGCACCTAAGGGAACATGCCGGAGAAGGGGGCAGACCCAGGGCACCGAAGAGGGCGAGGGAGGTAAAGGAGCTGGAGGATGGAGATGGGGCAGGAGGTGGAGGCGGGGGCGGAGGAGGAGTACCATACTATAAACCGGGTGCCACATGAGTGGGTAAACCCTGGGGGCCAGGGAACAGGTGTACACCTGGGCCTGGCCTTTTTTTTTGCTTTGTTTTTTTGAGGGGGTGGTGTTATTAATATTACTTTGCCATGGCCACGGCCACAGCGACGAATCCACGAATACGTGGAATCGCCATCGCCACGGCCACGGCGACGAATCCACGATTACGTGGAATCGCCAAAAGGAGCTTCTGCTGCTCTCTCAGAGGCTCTGAGTGCTCTCCTCGTGCTCTCCTCGTGCTCTCCTTGTGCTCTCCTCCTGCTCTCCTCGTGCTCTCCTCGTGCTCTCCTCGTGCTCTCTCAGAGCCTCCAAGAGGGTCTTCCCCAGCCCACGGAGGAGCTTTCCCTGCCCCTACAGAGCCTCTGAGGGGAGGTCTTGGCACCTACAGAGCTTCCCCAGCCCACGGAGGAGCTTTCCCTGCCCCTACAGAGGCTCTGAGGGGGGTACCTACAGGCCCGACGCTGGAATCTCTACCGTATTTTCCACGACCCGACCGAAACGCGGGATTTTGGGGTGGGAGGAGGGAAAAAAGAGGTTAACACCTCCCAACCCATCCAGCACGCCGCTCGGGTCGGCGGACCCCCAAGCTTTTCACATTTGACCTCTTGATCAATCCAGCTTCACCTTTGCCCTAAACCCTGAAGCCTCAACCCTAAACTAACCCCCAAACTCTAAACCCTAAACCCCTAAACCCTAAACCCAATCTATCCAGGACCGGCTCCTCCTCAGTGTGTTATTATGCCGTCAAGATCTTGCCTAGACGAATTCAACCCCGAAGCCTGTGTCAGGGTTTGGATTTGCGGTTATAGTGTCCTGGGGTGTCGGTGTAGTATAAGGGTTCGAAAAACCACCAACAGTTACGCCTGGTGTTCCCTAATACAGTAGGCTATAAAGGGCCCCCGATTTTAGTCGCCTGATTCACGATGAAGGCCGGTCTTCGGGAACAACTTCCGCCCTATAAACCCTTACAGTACTTGGAGGGTCGGACGACTTAGTAAGTAGTTACTTTATAGACTTACAAGTATCATAACCCCAATTAGGCTGTACTTTTAAGTCTACTTATTACCTACTTACTAAGTCCCCCGACCCTCCAAGAAGCTTCAAACCTGAGTCAAGGGTACTCAGCGTAAAGTTCTTTTGCAACTCGTAGAAAGCCCGTGCAAGACCTCGAAGGTACAGCACCGCTGCAAAAAGAGCCCGCCAAACTCTGCCACGCCGTGATAAAGCCTTTTCCGACCCTATGCCGAGGTGAAGAACACGTTTCTTCATTTCCAACCAGCGGCCATGCCGTTCCTTGGTTTGCAGAAAGGCTGGCTGCCGGGCTTTCGGTTTGTTAGCATCTGGCGTTTAGGGCTACAGTTTTTGCATTTAGGGATGATTGGTTTGGGAATTTCGTTAAAACATAGATTCCATAGATTTTGGGCCTGCCTTCTAGTGCTGGGGTATCGTCATAGCGGTGTTGTAGGGTTCTACAGCGGTTCTATGAGAGCACAATACGGGTTCTTTAAGGCTTATAGTTTGCTTTTTCTTGAAGCGATTCTACGAGAATGAGTATCAGCCCACTCAGCGCCCTCAACCCGAAACTCCCTGAAGGGAACCTGTCTGAACTGTACTAACTGACCCGTAAGCCCTAAACTGATAGTTCCAAGGCCTTAGCATTCTGAACCCTAAAGACTAAGCCCCTAAACGCTAAACCCGGAGCTCTGAAACCCTCAACCCTGAAACCCCTAAGATCCTAAAGTCCTGAAGCTCGCATGCGAATAGTTCAGAACAGAGGCGTCGATTCCTTTGGATCCGCCAGGTTTTCTCTGGGGGTCGTTAAGGGCTGTCTCAGCGTTCTGGTGGGTGTCTTCCCGTATGACGGTGTTTTTGCCAGGGTTGTATGGAGAAGCCAAAAGCCCTTAAAGCCTTAAAAGAACCCCAAACGGAACCCTAATCTTGAAGTCCTAAACCCAAGTCCTAAACCGTAAACCTTAAGCCCAAAACCTAAACCCTAAACCTAAACCCTTAACCCTGAACCCTAAACCTTAAACCCCAAACCCTAAACCCTGAACCCTGAACCTTAAACCTTGTTTATAGACCTTGAAACCCCACACACACAGACTTCAATACCCCTTAATTAAGGAATATTCCTTAGATCATACAAAGGATCCTACTACAATTTAAGGATTTTGTCTTAATTAAGGGGTATTGGAGTCTCAGGGCAGAAGCCCGGAGCCCTGCCCGAGGTTGGGACCTTTGCGTCACACAAAGTCCCTTCCGCTTCTTCTGGAGCAGGAACGGTCCGCATTTCAGGGTTCCTATGACCCTGGGCATCAACATAGCCCCAAAGCCTTTTATAGTAAGGTCTTTGGGCCCAAAAGTCCTAATATATGAGTCCTGAGAGCCCTAAACCCTAAACCCTAAATAGGGGCGCTTCTGGGGTTCCTGTTAAGGGCACTATGGGGGGTTCGAGGTTTCGGGCTTGAGGGTGCGAGGTTTTAGAGTTTAGGGTTTAGGGTTTCAGCTTTCAGGGGTCATGAGTCAGGGTCGAGCGGGTTGAGGTTTTTTTTAGGGTGTAGGGTTTCAGGTCTTTGTGGGTTTCAGGCTTTCGGTTTTCTGGTTGAGGACTGTGTGTTGGGTTTTAGCTTTTGGTTTGCTTTAGGCCTTGCTGAATCACTTCGATGCGATGGATCAGGACCGCGAGGGTCTTGCGCGTTTTGTAGTTGATGACCTCATATACATGTCCATATGTGAGTATACATGAAGAAATGTATGTTTGCATGTTTGCATGTATGCATGCATGCATGTACGTATGTATGTGTGTAGTTATGTATGCATGTGCAGTATGTTGAAGTACATGCCGGTGTAAGCATGAATTATTCATAGGTGCATACATGAGTACAAACAACGCAACAAACAAACTTTTCTACATACATACATAGTTAAATAGATGGACATACACACATATGTGCATAATCTACTCATCTACATCCACATCCTCATGTGCTTGTACATGTAGAAGTGCATGTGCACATACACATTCACATGCGTTCATTTACGTACAAACATACAGACATTTGTTCATACATACATGTGTACATACGTGCGTATGCACGGACGCCAATCCATGGATCCATCCATCCATGTATGCATCAATCCATGCATCCATCCATTCATTCATCTGTCCGTACATGCAAGCATTCGTGCATGCATGTAGGCAGGCATACATACATACATACATACATACATACCGATGTATAGACATACTTACAAAGATGCGTGTGCACATACATACACCCTTAGGTACATGCATGAATACATATGTGCATACAGTAACACATGCGTGTGCACATACATACACCCTTAGGTACATGCATGAATACATATGTGCATACAGTAACACATGCGTATATATATATATACACATATATATATATACATATATATATATGTACATATGTACATATGATATATGATATATTTATGTACATGCATCCGGACTGACATGCATACGTAACAGCTGCCTACCTGCCTACCTGCCTACCTGCCTACATGCCTACCTACCTACCTACCTACCTACCTACCTACTGACCGCCGGGCCCAGCGACCTACCTGTGCACCTGCTTGCATACCTGAATGTTCGTTGCCTGTGTACAAGCAATAAATCAAGCAAAGAAGCACCGCACATGCGTAATGAAGTAGATAGTTGGATGGGTATATGTGCATGGACATAGTATAGTCTTTAGTGTACATTTGTGGATAGACATCTGATATAAACACAATACAACCACATGTATACATCTCGATATGAACTTAAAATACAGGATAAGGTCTTAAATACCTACACAGGCACGCATAACTGACTCAGTGTGAAGAGGCTGAGCAGCTTGGCCTTTGCGCGTAAACTTACTCATTTTGTCCTTACAAGCCCCTCAACTGGCGGAGGCAGTCGATGAGCCTTAATCCGGCATGGGATGAATAGTCTATCCAGCCGCCGGCATCCATCATACTATGCAGGACGAAGGCCACGGGAAAGGTTTGGGCTTGTATTTAGGGTTTAAGGTTTAGGGTTTGGGCCCGTTAGGGTTGGGCTCTGTCGGGTCTAAAGCTGTGCATTTTGCGGGCTTAGCAAGTTTCGACCCAGTTCCTTCTCAAGATAAGAGCCCGGTGAGTCTTGAGCCCACGGCAAAGACAAGCAACGGTATCCGCACGAGTAGTAGTAAGAGCAAGAGCAAGAGTAAGAACAAGGGTTACAGCAAGAGTATTGGCAATGGTAGTGAATGTGGCAGTAGAAGCAGAAGTCGGAGTCGTGGTCGCATTCGTCGGGTGTTGTCCGTCTTAGTTGTATCCATCATCATACTGTGGTAGGACGAAAGTTAGACCTAATAGGTACTAGCGGTTTCACTTAAAAGAGGCCCGCACTCCCTCGTAGAATCCTCACAAACGGGACCCGCCGGGTACTCCTCGAAACAGTACCCACCTGCACCTAATCTCTAAACTCTAATTCCCGAGCCACTGATTTTGTGAGGTTTTTTTCAAGGGTTCGACAAAAGCTTTTAAGAGATTCTTTGGAGCGTCATGTGGTTTAGGGTCGATGGTGCAGCTAGTTTAGCTTTCAGGGTTGAGGCTTTCAAAGTCATGTGTGTTTGTGATTCCTGCAGTCATTGTTTGATCCGTTTCTGGGAAATTTTTCGGTCATTCGTTTTATTTGCCGTGCCTTCCCCTCGAACCCTTCCACCGTCCCCAAAATGACCAACAGCGGGAACATCGCAGCGCCCCGGCTCTCCAGATTTTCACCTCCGGCCCTCCGGCACCGGGAAACCCTCCGACACTCCGAGTGAACCGTCCCCGACCATCCCCGAACACAAAAAGAATGCAGGGTAATTACTATAAGGGTACTATAAGGGTACTGTAAGGGATCTAGAAGGGTACTAAAACGGGTCTTTAAGGGTACTATAACGGTTCTATAAGGGTACTATAAGCCCGTGAACTCATTAATTTGTCTCCCCCGTCCCAGTCTGCAGCTACAGGTTATGAGGTCATCAAAAGTCTAGGTGTAGGGGTGTGTGAGTTTGGGATTTTCGGGACCCTAATCCTAAACCCTAAACCCTAAGCCCTAAATCCTAAGCCCTGAACCCTAAGCTAAGCCCTAAACCCTAAACCCTAAGCCCTAAGCCCTAAACCCTAAGCCCTAAGCCCTAAGCCCTAAACCCTAAACCCTAAACCTTAAACCCTAAGCCCTAAGCCCTAAGCCCTAAACCCTAAACCCTAAGCCCTAAACCCTAAACTTAGCGAGGGCTCGACAGCGCGCATGGAGCAGAGCCCGAGCGGTGTCTGCTGAGGCCAGGCAGAGCCCGAGCAGCTGTGCTGCGAGCGGCTTTACGAGTTGCGTTGCGAGTTGCCTCCTGCGGAACAGACGCTGTGCGATGAGGCCACGGCCATACCACCATGTGAGGTAGGCTGGTCTAGTGTGCCCGGCAAGCACACCTCTATTACGTAGTAAAAGCCAATACCCTTAAGCCCAGACCATTTGCCAGCGGCGTGCGGTAACGGGTTTGTTTGGTGGTCGGGGGGGTACCCCCAGAAGGGTGTCTGGGCCCCCGGCTGGCAGATTGTGGGGGCCCGGGGCCTTTTTTTGGGTCGCTCCTAGGGGGGCGACCTTTCCCTTCAAAACGCCAGACTCCACGGTAACGGGTTTGATCCTGCAGCTGCAGTGACACGCGACGACAAGACCACACAGACACTCTTGCCATAGTGCAAAACGTTATCTACTTCTGGTTGGCGTTGCGTAATATCCATTGCCGATATTGTTTGTAGCTTTTTTTTGGCTGGGACACCATGCTTTGGGCCATTTTGAGCGGTACAGCTGCATTCTGTCCTGTGCCCGAAGAAGCAAGCAGATTGCAATCTGAAAACGAGCTCGGCCATTGTCATGTGAGGTCCATTCTCCACGAAAGTAGCCCAAATCCTGTTGTGCTAGTTGGCACGGAGGCATGCCCCTGGGCTGCTGCTCTGGGCACCCCCACCAGAGCACTGGTTCGTCGTCCTTCTCTCTGAAGGACCAGCTAAGGCCCCGCCCCCACCAGAGCACAGCCCGTGCCAAGAGCAGCCACATGAAAAGAAAGGAGGGGACCTCGAGATTGGGATTGGCCTAAGCTAAAATACACATTTTATGAAAAGAATTTAGTATTCCAAAATCAGCCACAATTTTCCAGATTTCAAGGCCCCACCCCCACCAGAGCACAGCACCCCCACCAGAGCACCCCCACCAGAGCACCCTATGAGAGACTGGTACCGTTCTCTTCCTTCTCCCAGAGCACTGGTACCGTTGACGGACCAGCCAAGGCCCCGCCCCCCACCAGAGCACAGCACCCTCACCAGAGCACCCCCGCCAGAGCACCGGGTGCCGTCCGTCGTCCTTCTCTATGACCCCACCAGAGCACCACCTTCGTCGTCCTTCTCTATGAAGAACCAGCCCCTTATCAGAGCACCCCCACGCCAGAGCCGGAGCCAAAATCCCCGAGTATTTTGGGTGATAAATTCTGGTCGTTAAAAAACACCAGCCAAACCCCCGCCTGCGCTGGGGAAAGCACCCCTTGATAGGGGGGTTTGGGGGGTAGAAAACCCTAAAACCTAATTGAGTTGTGTCTGGGTGGGTCTAGGGTGGGAGTCACTTAGCTGTGCTGGAGCGAGCGGCTCGGGGAGATTTACACCCGAGCGAGCGAATACGATGGACAAACCCTAAGCCCTAAGCCCTAAACCCTAAGCCCTAAACCCTAAACCTTAAACCTTAAACCCTAAACCCTAAGCCCTAAGCCCTAAGCCCTAAAGCCTAAACCCTAAACCCTAAACCCTAAACCCTAAGCCTTACGTGCTAAACCCTAAACCTTTTCTTTTCGTCCAGGCCAGGCTCGACATGCCGGCTGCGTGCTCTCTGGGATGATCAAAGCCAGCGGCAGACACCTTATCTTCGGTTAGTGGGGAATGGAAGAATGGTAGTAATAGTAGTTATATTTATATGGTAGTAATATGATAGTGATTTCATAATAATATGATAGTAATAAGGTAGCAATATGGTAGTAATAGTAGTTATAGTTATACCCGATTCCTCCATTCCCTACTAACCCAAGGTAAGACACCGGCGATGGCGAGCAGACCAACACAACTTGTTGGTGTCTCACGCATGAAGTAGCCCAAGTGAACTAGCAGACTCTGAACGCATCAACCCTAGGACCCCAAGGCGTAAACCCATGTGCCCGGAATCCTCAAGCATTAAACCACTGAAACCCCAAACCCGCAAACTCCTGAACCGCGCATGTGAATACCCGAACCCCGAGATCCCAAGCCCCAAAGGGTCTGGGATTTAGGGTTTAGGGTTCTCCAAATCCCGAAGTTGTCGTAGCCTTGAAGCCTTAACTAAGTTGGATGGATTCCTGAGGCAATGGAGGAGGTTACAGCGAGTTTGCGCGATGTGTGTTTTCCGGGGCATCAGACGGATCCCCAAAAGGTTATAAGTTATGACTTTGCAAGTTAAGACTGAGGGTTTTGGATTAGGTGCCGACTTGGGATAGCTGTTAATTTCTGTTTAGTTTAATATAGGACTTAACCTTAACTATACAGTTTGGGGGCATTTGAAATCGAAACTTAACGAAGGATCCCCAAACCATAACGAGCCCCACCCGAACCCGAACCTGAGCCGCACTCCCCCCCCACCAGAAAAAATAACATGCAAGCCGAACATGCACCTCAAGCTCAACCTCCATCCGTGAACCTTGAACCCGAACCCCCCCCCCTTGGGTTTGGGTTTCCTCCCCGGACCCAGGCCCAATAACCAATGCTCTGCCCCCAGAAAGCCAAAGCTTAAACCCTAATAGAGGGGCCTTAATAGTAAGAATAGGGTTTTGGGGCTTGTTATACTATAATTTAGAATAAGAAACCCTCAAAATAGCATCAGTAATTTTTTCTGTCCTTAAAGTAATCATGCCCCAAGCCCGTCCCTAAACCCTAAACCTTCAAGGCGCTTTTTTGCCATTCGCCGGTGAATCCTCACAGTATTCTTCTTTTAAGCTGCTACTTTAAGCTCTGTGCTGGGCAATTTTGGGGCCCGGCGAGAGAGCCGCCAGTGCGTGCAGGCTACGGCTTTAGAGTTTAGGGTTTACAAAGGGTTTAGGGCTTGAGGTATCTGGGTTTTGGAGTTCTCAATACTATATCTATACAGTGGGCCCTTTTCCCTTTTTGTAGTCCTAGGGTTCTTATAAAACGGCCCAATACCAAAAGCGGAGCCGTTGATTCCTAGTTTACTGGAGGATCAACATTCCTCACCATCGTATTTTGCTATTCTTGCTGGTCGTACTATTTATTGAATCTCAAGCCGCAGACCGAGCTTCTGCAGGCTTGTGACGACATTCTTCTATGGTAACCCTACAGTATCATGACCTCTGAATGCCTGTTCATCGATTGCTTCAAAACTGAATCTAGCCCCTATCTAACCCCTACATAACCAAAATGGTTAACCTTTAGTTCCCCATGATACCCGACAAGTGGGCTGTAAAGGGATCTATAAAGGTTCCCTGTAAGGGATCTCTCGGATATAGGGTTTAGGAAATTGAGGAATTTTCCTACTTATACCATAACTAGGGATCCTACTTGGAGGGGCAGGGGACTTAGTAAGTAGGTTATAAGTAGAGTTGTAAGTACCCTGAATGGAGTTACCCCAATTACAACCCTACCGATAAACGACTTACTAAGGCCCCTGCCCCTCCAAGTACTATCCTAAACCCTAAACCCTAAACCCCTAAACTCTAAACACTCAACCCTTTCTCCCAGGCCCCCGAGCCCTCAGGCTAGAGTCCGACAAAATCGTAGACCTTGAACCCTAACTGCCAAGCCCTAAACCCCTTTAAAGGGCTCCTATAGAAGGGTCTATAACCCTAAGGCTCAAAACGGCCCAAAAGCCTTATATA